GCACAAATTCTTTCTAAGTTTCTCTGATATTTTCCATAATGAAGAGATAGGAGTAGAGAACGTGAATGTGAGAATGTATAGGAAAAAATCTAAAATAATATGTTACCCTCTGGGGACAGAAATGAGTGGGAAGAGGGAAGGGTTCAGAAGAGAGGGCATCACTTTTCTACTCTGTACAATGTTGTAGTGTTTGATCTATTTTTTAAATTACAACATGTGGTCTCGTATTATTTGTGCAGTTTTAAAAATAATTTAACAGCTCATTCTAAAAATAAAAATATTATTCTAAATAATGACCTGGAAATTAAGGGTCTGGGTCTCTAAATTAAAAAAAAAAAAAAAAGTTTCAAAAATATTTATACAGAGCTGGCCTGGCGGCGCAGTGGTTAAGTTCACACGTTCTGCTTTGGCGGCCCAGGGTTTGCCAGTTTGGATCCTGGGTGTGGACCTACACACTGCTTGTCAAGCCATGCTGTGGCAGGCGTCCCACATATAAAAAAAGAAGAGGAAGATGGGCACAAATGCTAGCTCAGGGCCAGTCTTCCTCAGTAAAAAGCGGAGGATTGGCAGCAGATGTTAGCTCAGGGCTGATCTTCCTCAAAAAAAAAAAAATTATAAAAAGACTGAAATGTTAGTGACCTCCTGGCAGTTTTCTTCTTCACTTGTAGATTGGGAAGAGAGTAGAAACTGACATTTTCTAGGTACTTATGTGATCCATGGTTTCACATATGTCATTTCATTTAACACTCAACAGGATTTTGTGCAGTAGAAGTTCTTATCTTCACTTTTTTATGTCCTAGGAAATCTATACTTAGAAAAGTTTCACAACTTTTCCATGCTAGACTGAGATTAAGACTGTCTGGTGTGCAAGTGTGACTCCATTGTTTTGTGTAGTTTTGTTATTTTATGCTGTGTTCCTGCTTGATTATGAATTTTCTTTGAATAGCGAGGGTCCCCCTGGCAAGGTCAGAAATTTCTCTCTTCATATCCTCTTTTGTATCCTCCTTCACATCCTCTTTTAAGGAGGTACCATCTCCCTCCCTCCTAGGCAACCATTGCTCAGTGTCTCCTGACTATTTTGTTTGACCTTCAAAACTTAAAGTGATTTCATTGTCCTATTTCTTGATGCTATTTTGAAAAATAAGATTGATTAATTATCCCAGAACTTTCCCAAGAAAGGCCTATCAGTGTACTCAAAATCAAACCACCAGCTCATGTCCCAGTGGCTGACTTCTAACAGGACTGGTCAATCAAGGGACTGGTAGACGTTTGCCGGGTGAACAAGCTTCTTATGCTTGTTTGGAAGTAAAGCAATGCCTTGTTCCTCACCCAAAGCTCTACCTACCTCTCACCCTAGAACCCCCTGAAGTTTGGGGCGAGGTGGAAGATCCTCTTTAAGACACTGCTATTTTGTAAACCAAAATTAAGTTAATAAAAGAAATACATGAGAAGTACTGAAACTGTGTGTGGTCCTCTTGAGTGTTATACCACGATAAGGTCTTACTTCATCCAGAAAGGAGAAACGTTTTGCTAATTGTATCATCACAGACAGTTGCTTGGTTTGTGTCAAGGTATGGGGGCCAGGTCAGGGTGGGGGTTGTTCTGTCTCCTGTCACCCCAATCGCAGTGGCGCTAGAAGACCAGGAGAAAGGAGAATATTCAAGAAGGTTAAATGAAGCGGAGGAAAATGGTGAGGAAGGAAATAGGATTGTCATCAAACAAAATATCTAGACTTTAAGGGTAACTTCTCATAGGCTGATGTGCCCTAAAGAACCTGTTTCAGGGCTGGGATACCCAGGAGAGTATCCTGGCCAGGATTATAAGGTCAAAAGCAAAGAGTTCAGTGCTGACTGTGGGTGGCACGAGGCTGTGGATATGTCATTGCAGCTTCGAGATGCTTAGTGATGCGGCCTCCTCTTCCATCGCTTTTGCTGTCCTGGCTGATGAATGCACTCTGAGCCAGTATTCCAGCAAGAGGAGCTGCATTTTTCTTTTGAGCCGTAGTCCATATTCTGTCGCATCTTTAAGTAGAACGATGCATTCATTCTTGATTCCCAAACCAGTCAGGGCTCAGATTTTCAAACTCATCAGTGAAAAATGGAGAAAGAAAGAGTGATTGAGGTCAAGACTCTTTTACCAATTCAGTCGTATTAAAATTGGAGTTAACCAATTGGGAGAGACGGAATTTTGGAGGGTACAGGGGCATCTGAATGGTGTGCAGGGAAAACGAATATCCGACCAATACATATACACATAAAGAACTATACCAACAAAAATTCAAGGTACGCAAGCTCTTTCTAATTTTTTCTATGTCTGTAACTTTTCATAATAAAAAGTTAGGTAAATTAATTAATTATGCCTAATCCCTACCCTTGAAAAACAAATCTAGTAAAAGGATGATTTACGGTTCTACATGTTAAGCACATTAATCGCATTCCATAGTCATTTACTCTGGGAAAAAACTACTTAGCCCCAAATTACTGAAACCTGTTACATTTTCTCTTCTAAAACTGTACTGAATCATTATATCATTTCTGCTTTCTTTTCATTTCCAAACCATCTGTTACTCAGTAGAAAATCATAAAGAGCTTACATAGTGTAATGCTAATTAACTCCTGCCAAGGATCTGAAAGCAGGGAAAAAATGAGCCTGGAGACAGGTCTTTTTGTTATTATTGAGTTTGGTTTTTATAAGTTTTACCTCTAAGTCTTTCTCATCAAAACCAACTATTGTACTGAGTAGTAACAAGAACACTTCCTTCTACTAGTTGCATAATCTTTCCTAAGGACTTTCTCTTTTCTCCTTTGTTTTGTTAGTCCACGTTCCTATAAATGTGGCAGGAGAAAGAAAACCCAAGTTTCCCGCTCTCACCATGAGGCCCCCTCCCAAAGATGAAAGGAAGGCGCTACTCAGGCTGATCCCCCAAGGAACCGACGTGCCTTGCAGAGACGTGTGTCTATTTCCGCTGCATTGAGCTGTGCAGCTCCAGGTGTTTTTAATACTGTACAGACATTCAAGCTCTCCAGAGTATTTTTATATAATGTTGGATGAATTCAGATTTATCGTGCTATCGAAGTTTCTGGGAACAGAATATGTGGCTGGTTTAGCAAAGAGCCTATGGTGTGCGCAGCTTCTCCTGAGGTTTTTTCTTACGTTGGAGCAGTGTCTTGGATCCATTCGGTTACAGAGGGACAAGAGAGACCCCATCAGATTCCCATGCCAGCTCCATCAAGAATGCAGGACATGCAAATCAAGGATCTGGGAAAACTGTACAGACATGGGTTGAGCAAATCTAATCAAGGAACTAAGGCTCTGAACTGAGTGTTCTGAAGATTCCAGAGAGGATGAAGATTTGGAAATCCTGTTAAAGAAGAGACTGAATCTAAGAACCTTGGGCCACATGGCACTTTGCTTTCTCTTCTCCCCTTGAGCTCTGTAAGCCGCTGTAGCGTCTGAGGTTTCGGGCATGTCTGGCCTCGTTCCATAAGTAAGAACAAATCTGCCGTACAATTTGAGGAGTTGGCTCTATTATTATAAAATCAGGTTTGGTCCTGAGATAATTCAGGATAGTTTTGGTCCTCCTTTAGTGGACACCTTGAGCCACATATTTAGTTCTTTACTGAACAAAACCCATGGATTATGATTTCATGGGTCTTGGGATTTTAATCCTAAAGTGATGTTTATCTTACATTTGTGAGTCAAGTTCTATGATGCTGTCCACGGTCAAGAGTGAAAAACATGGACAGTTTTCATTCAACCTTGACACTTTTAACTTGTCTGGGGAGGAAGCTTGCATTTTAATTTAAAAAAAAAGTCAATTGTATCCATGCTTAAAAGAATTAGCAGAAGCTTTTAAGTGACTTTGTAGATACTAATAAGGGATTTGATATGTTTTTGTTACTGAGATTTTTGAAATGTGGAGCTTAAGTACAAATATGCTATCTTTTTCTGATGTTCTGCTTTCTATGTTATATTTGTTATATTTTCAGATTCAGTATATATCTCGTGCAGAGTTTTTTAATGAATTATTTTGTGTGGACGGGCAAAACGGGCACCAAAGGGAAATCTTGCCGAGGAGGAACAAAATCCTATGTGAACACATGACAACATACACGATGTGTGCGCTGATTGTAAAATAAGCTTTTTCATCCTTAAAGCACATCAGAATTGAGTATGAACGTTTACTTTTCAATAAATAAATAAATAAAGATGCCCTTGGAGGATGTAATGCTGCATTCTCCCTTATCCATGCACTCTTGCATTTTTGCTTTCTTTGCATTTCTCTTTGCGGGAAGATGACTGTCGCTCCTTGATACTATCACATTTGACTTGCATTTTGAGTTGATATTTTCGTTCTGGTAAGAATAAAAAATTTGAAATTGTCAAGAAAAATCAATGTTCCTCCTTTCTCTTGCTTTTGAACATGTGTCACTCTAAAACACAATTTCCGTGTATCAGCATGTGGTGCATACCCATGCAGCCCATTAACCACGGAAATTACGTGGTCCACCGTCAACATACGTTCATCGTTCCTTTACAGGTGCTTGGCACCGTTCCTAGACTCAAAGGGGACCCAGAATAACATTCGGACTCTTAACTGGTCTTGTATTACACTGCCATTGCCCGGTTCACTTCTTGAGGTCCAACCCTGCCCGGCGTCTCCTGTGCTGGGCTAAAGTCGAGTCAACAGTACAGATTTCATTCCCAGGAATAGAATTTGTTCTCATGACTCCCCATAAACGTTGCAGCTTTGCAAACATTCATCTCAGTGCCCGAAATAAAGAAATTAAAGATGTGTGTCAGCCGTCTTTTGCTGACACGGTAAATATATGGGTAACTTACTAGGATTTCTCTGCTCTCTCTACAATCTTGCAGGCTTTTAGTCATTTATACAACTATCCTTTATGAGAAAGAGCGAAATCAGTTAAGTCTGTTAGAGTTAATTTATTGAAAATTGGCCAGATAAATAAAGAACAGGAAAACAAAGAAGATGGAAAAAATTCAATCAAAGTAAGTACAGAGTTTATTTTCAACAAACGTCATAGCTGTGATGCCTTATTATTACAGAATCCAGCGGTCCATGGACAGGAAAAATTTATCCACAGTAATACTAAAAAACGTTGAGGGTTGGCAGTACATGGTAGCTAAGTACAGTGTCTCAGTTTGATTACTGTCAATTATTTCTGAGCATGCTAAATTCCCTACCCATGTGCCAGCTTCTAGATATGTTGATGCCTCACTCTGTCTCCCATCCAATTAATTACTTTGCATTATTCTTTCAATCCAATTAATAAAACTTGAAACACGAACATAGACACCAGGCTTATTGGGTCGTGCACAGCCGAGACCCCAAGAAGTGACTCCTTGTAAAATGTATTTGTCCTTCTCAAAGCAGACCAGAGGCCCTCCACTGTCGCCCTAAATAGAAGAAGGAGAAAAGCCAGGTGAGGATTAAACTGCCATCTTTTTATTATGGGATGTCATCCTTCTATTATTCAAATGCAAGTTTTCCCAGTATTTGAACATTCCTTTCCCCTCAGAAAGGAACTTATTCATATCATTTGAACATCTGTGGCACTCCAGGATTGAGCAAAGTATATTCGACAAAACCACACAATTAGTGTTTCCTGGGGGAAAAAAAATCCCTTGTGAATACTGTGCCTTGGGGTTTCTCTTAGGCAGGTAACCCCAAAAACAATTATAAAAGAGGTGCACCTGCCCTTTGTCCTATACTCTATCCCTATTCCCTACTGGGAAGGCCACCACCGGAGCCCCACCCATCAGCATCCTTCAGGAATGTGTGTTACCTGGGGCAGTCATGGTACTTAACCACTCCTTACAACCTATCTGGGACTCGAGGCACAGAAAATCACCTTAAGCTATCTGAATCAGAATTCAGGTACAGACCTGAAGGCTGTCTGGGCAACAGGTAGACTGTGGCCTGTGAGTGACAAATCTTTCTTGAATTTGCCACTTTGGGGCTGAAATGGGTAAGGCGCCAAGACAGGCCAGCACAAAATAAACTTTGATCTCTTCCGTCTTTTCTTACCTGGCAACTGTCAACACCTCCAACCAGATGTCCAGCACAGAGTTCAGTCGATTTGACTCGTCCATTCAGATACTCATAGCGGTTGCACACTTTATTCTCAATCACAGGCAGCTGTGCCTCCTTGAGGACGCCAGCATTAGAGGAGTCTGGGTTTAAAAAGATTAGAGGAATGGTTACTGGATCTAAAACGGGTCCACGAGGAAACTTCCAGAAAACAGAGCAGCAATGACAGATCTCTTGTTTGTTTATGAGGTTGGATGAAACAAGAAGTCAGTTCCCAATACTACTAGAATCCCTTTGTTTTTTCTTTTTTGACTTTGAAAGTATGAACATTATATAAGATTTCATGGTCCCAGGACCTGGATTTAAGCATCAGGGCTTCTTTACAGTGTTTTAGGGTTTGTTTATGTTGTGATTTTTTGTTTGTTTCTTCTTTTTTTTACACTATAAAGAAATAAATTTTTAATATGTAAAGAGAGATTGGGAAATGCTACTATTTCTATATTTTCTCTTTCAGGCATTTTATATGCTTCTTTTACTACTTATATCATATCACACATTTTGTACCCTGATTTTTTTCACACAACGTTATATCATAAAGATTTGTTGCGATGCCACAATCTTCATAATTAATATTTTAATAAGGAGTGACAGCTTAATGGGTATGGGGTTTCCTGTGGGGGTGAGGAAAGTGCTCTGGAAAAAGTGGTGATGGGTGCATAACATGGTGAATGTACTAAATGCCATTGAGTGGTACTCTTCAAAAGAGTTAAAATAGTAAATTTTATGCTATATATATTTTACCACAATATAAAAAAAGAAGAATAGCTATCATTTACTGAGAATTAACCTTTTCAGACACAAACTCATTACGTGGTATATCTCATTTAATCCTGACAATAGTCCTATGAAATAGGCACTTTTGTCATCCCTGTTGTACAGTTAAGGAAACCAAGGTTCAGAGAGGGTGTGTAGTTTGCCCAAGATCACCCAGCAAGTAAGCGGTGGAGCTGAGATTTGAACCTGAGTCTGTGACATCAGTGCACAAATTCTTCACTACCATGCTCGTTGGCTCCACATCTTTTTTCATAAAGTTTATTCATGTTCCTTAATATTCGCTTTAGTCTAAGTACTCAGAAGTTATATGGATATATTCATGGCTCCCAATGTTACTGCACAAAATTGGAGTTCTCTTGCCCAATGTGCATAAAAAAGCCATTTAATTACAGCATCAGCCTTTGGGAAAGAAATCAGCTTTATTCTGCGAGATTGATCTACAGGGAGACAGGGGGCATGTGTCTCAGATCTGTTACCCTGATTCAGGATTTGGGGCAAAATTTAAGAAGTTAGGGAGAACAGCCTGGCACGTGGAAATGCTGATGGCACAGGTTTTGGTTGGTGGGCTTCAGGCATTCATGGTAAGGTTCCAAACACTCATGATAAGGTCCTAAACTTTTACAATGAGGTTCTAAACTTTTATGGTAGCATTTTAAAATTTACGGTAAGGTGGGGAAGGAATTTTAACATCGAATCTTCCAGAATGACAGACCCTTGCTTCTGATAAGAGTCTGACTTTTAAGTTCCAGTCATGTCCCGGTCCTTTGGTTCCATGATCATTTCAAGTCAAGATTTCTTCTTCTGCTCATGCTTTGGTTACGTGACCTTGCAAATTTTCTGAAAGACAATTTCTTAATCACTCTGTTGATAAGATGGGGTCAGTTGAACTGATCCTGGAGGGCCCATGGTTACACCAATAACAGTGCCAAATTATTTTCTAAAAGAGTGTGACAGCATAAAATGTCAGGAGGAAAAAAATCACCTCACCACACCCTTCTGAGTAGCTCATATTTTTAGATATTTGCTAATATAATGGGTGGAAATTGTCCTAATTCATTTCCTAATTTACATTTCTTTTCCAGTTAGGGAGAGTAAACATTCTCCTGTGTGTTTGTTTTACTCATTGTATTTCTTCTTTTGTGAAAAACTGTTTTTTTCACTTTGGCAAATTGAAATAGAACACTTGCAAAATCACCAGAGGATATGCTGTTTCCCCAGATGGACACACCCAGGTAGGTCTCAGTGTTTTTACAAATAATCCAGTTTTCCAAATTTGCAAGCCCAACTTTCACCAAAATTTTGCAAAAATCTTTCCTTTGCTAGCATGAAATGCCAAGAGATGAGACACTATTTCTTCTCCAAAAACTTTGAGTAAACTTGGATAATTGTCTTGAGTTCGGAAAACTTACACTCCATCTGGAGTTGACAGGAGCACGTAAGAGGACCACCATTTGGAAAGGAGAGGCTTGTCCCAGCCAGGGTGGGCAGAGCCACTGTGGAGGAAGGGGCTGACCACGGAAAAATTGGGCAGAGGTTGCATTATGTGGATTGAGTAGATGCATGGAGGGAGCAGCCATCTCGAAATATTTGGCTGAAAATTAATTTATTCAAGTGTCTTGCTCTTGCATCTGCCTTCTAGGCACATCCTGATGCTAGTGACAAATTTACTGCTAGTCGACTAGAAGTCAATGTGGTCTGTGCAGAGATGCTGCCATCCTGTGTCCACAGTAGAGATGGCATTTCTGAGGGCCAGGAGGCTGAGGGTGACCCAGGGACCAAAGCCCTGATAGTGGCTGTGGATGGGGAAGCAGGATCCTGAAGAGCGTCCAGTGCTTGCTGATGAGGGGCTGACTTGAAAGAGCCCCGGGCCTCAACACTTAGCTTGCTTTGGAAAATCAAGATCAGGGAAAGTCTGCAGATAGAATGGGAGAGAGGGAGAATTTTGACCTTACACCGAGAGGCTGAGGACACTGATTGATCTGATGCCATTGTTGACATATAGGAAATTGGTAAGCAGGCCTCACTCGTGTTTTGTGACTCCTCCTAGTCCAATGAATATACTGAGAATCATTTTCTCAGTAGACATGCGGGTGAGGCCAGGAGAGATGGGGGAGTGCAGGCCAGGATGGTGGTTAGGAAAGCGTGAGTCGTGGGTGGGACAGAAGAAACAGTGGATGGGCTTGGGGGTCAGGCAGGCCTCGGTTCCATCAGGGCTCAGCTACACACAGATTAAGCGATGTTTACTGGTGATGATGATGATGGTAGAGATGATGGTGATGATGGTGATGGTGATGATAATGATGTTGGTCTTAGTGATGATGGTAATGACGAGGATGGCAATGATGGTGATCATGGGGGGTGACGATGATGCTTGTGGTGGTCTTGATGATAGTGATGGTGGTTGTGGTCATATAATAAGAACAGGAGCTGCTAAAATACCGTCTCCAAAGCACTGAGCACCTCAAATGCATTATCCTAATCCTCTCAATGACCTTATAGGGTGGTACAGATGATGAAACTGAGGCTTACAGAGACTACATAACTTCCTAATGTTACATGGAAGGTGATAGAGCCAGAACCCACACTCAGAGCCATATACTTTGAAGTCTACGCTTTAATCAGTTAGAAATGGTAGCGGACATCTGTTGGTTTTCTGGCTGCCTAGCAGCCTTTCACCCTACATCCCATAATTCTGTGGAGGGACCCACTCTTGGTCCATCCTGGGTGTGAGTGGGCTTCTCAGGTGCAGGTGACGCAGGTCTGAGACAGTCAGTGATTGGTTCAGGGGCAGGCACATGACCCACCAGACCTATCAGAGCTGGGCAGACTATTGATGATGGCTGGGGGAAGGCGTCTCCCTTATTCCTCCCCACAGAGCCACAGCCATCATGGCGTCTGAGGACCAAGGATGCGCCTTTGTGCCCAGGAATAGTGCCCACTGTGTGGTGAGAGAGGGCCTCGGTGCAGGAACATCGCAAAAGCCAGCAGACTGCAGCTCACTAAGAATTTCTCTTTTTTGGCTTCATCCAATTTGCGCTGGATTTTGTACCACTTGCAAGAGAAAGTCGTATAGGAACAAGTGTACCCCCTGTCATTGACAAGACTTAGCTATGCTTGGTGCTTTATGCATACTTTCTCTTTGTTCCCCCACAACAGCCCTGCAGCCCATTTTCCAGCTGAGGAAACAGATCGAAAGAGAGTCTATGGCTCTTCTAAGCTCCTGCAGCTGATAAGTGGGAGTCAGGTTTCTGATAAGGTCTGTCTGCCCTCTCCGCATGCGGTTTCTGGGAGAGCACCCTGTACCTTCTCGGAGCCTCAGATCCCTCATTTGCAAAATGGGAACAAAAATATCGAACTCATTAGAGTTGGTGGCGTTGGAATTTTTAAAAATGCAAACCGCTGAACAGACTAACACATCCATAGTGATGTTTCATTCGCCAAGATTCCCTTTACTTTTTCTCGATGCTCACAGCCTCCAAAGGGTAGAAAGGGGGGACACTGGAAATCCAGGAGGTGAGCTTTTAAAAATAGTAAGAAAAGTGCAGAAGGGAGGAAGACAAGTTTGAAATGATTTAGAATGGTAGTTTTTAACCTTTTTTTTTAAGCCACAAAACCTTTCTTCAAATGAAAGCTTATGCAAAAGGCCAACATGGAAAACACAGATTTTATGGAGGGGGGCTTAGATGCCACCTGGTACAAAGAAGAAGGGTGACTTGTCCAGTTTGCCCAGCTAGTGGCAGAGCCAGGACCATTTTCCAGGGCTCCTGACTCCCACTCCAGTGCCCTCACCAACACTTCCAAGAAATTGAGGCAGAGATCTACGATGTTCTTACAACGTTCCTAGGCCTGTGTCCCATGGATATAATTATTATGAGGGCATATGGCAAAGAGAAGATGAGATCTCCAAAATGTAGTACAGGTGCCCACACAGGATCAGCATAAACATTTCCTCTCTCACCCTCACGCCATCAGCCAACACCAAAGACCTGCTAGAACTGGGACCTTTCTTTCTCTCCCGGCACTGTCAGTCTGTCCCATCCCCACAGCCTCTTCACACATCCATGATGCATGTGGGTCTTTGGGGAGACCAATTTAACTATAATTTTTGTTGTTGTTTTACACCACGTTTGACCAACTTCACATGAAAAATAATCTAACACACTTAATTCGTAGGCTTGCATCAAAACCCTACTTACCTGGGGACCCAACATAGATGTTGAATTTATGGGTTAAGAGACTCAAAGAAACACAACTTGTCCCCTTGTCAGTGTCCCTCGATGACTGACTATGGAGACACAGGCAGGTGCCCAGACAAAGTCAGGAATGGAGTGGACCTCACTCACTGGTAGGAATTTGTACAAATGCTCATTTTCCCATGTATGCTGTAGGTCAAAACCAATTCATTGTGCGAGTCACGGCATTTATCTCACCTTGGGTTTCTCCCCAGCCGGTGACGAAACATTCTGCCCAGTTAGCGACCACATAATCTGCGGGTGGCAGACAAGCTGGGATTACATTTTGGGTGATGATGGCAGGGCTGAAAGGAAAACATCAAAAGTGACATTTGACTGCCCTGTCCGGAGACACCTGCCATGCATCTTTTGGTCACCTACAACAAGATACCACCTGCCCCGCTGCCTCAGAACCCTGTCCCGGCTGGTATTTCCTTGCTTCACTGACACAGTGCAATGTAGAAAACAACTCTTCATCCTCACATTTGCCTCCTGGTGTTTAATGAACTAAACCAATCAGACGTTTTATTAAAAAGGCATCACTGGTGGACAAGAAACTAGACGTGGGACTAGGGATAACAACAACTCATTTTTCATGTCTATTTTGTGCACGATTGGAATTTTATACCAAGTGCATGCTTTTATATCAGTTTAAGAGGGCTTTAATCAGTAGGTGAGACATCTAGCTGGAATAGCATCATGAGGCTATTAAATAACAGCAAATGCATTGTGCGTCCATGAGCAAGTTGCTCCCTCTTTTGGGTCCTCAGATTCCTCACCTATAAATGTTACAACACCATGGTTGTGAGAATCCAATAAAATGCTGGATATCAAATGCAAGAGGATTGGAAATAAGCTCCTTGCATAAGCTAAATGGTATTGTTTTCAAAGAACTTTCACATGCCTTAGAGTTCCAGGGAATTTTGAACATCAGAACTTTGATTTTTAGACTTGATTCCATTTTAGTAAGTTCAAGAGGAAAACAGGTTGGAGATGAGAAATGCCCTATTCTATTAAGAATGACCATTGCTGCCAACTTTGAAGCAGACACACCCTCTTGGAGTCACTAGAATAGAGCCAGCCTCTCACATGGAGGGACCCCACAGATGTCACTCTGTAGGTTCCCTTCATGGAACACTAATGCCTTAGACTCTTGGCCTTAGGGGGCATGGGGGGGGGTACCCTAAAACTCAAAGGTATCAGCCTATCAGAAAATGATTCCAGAACCCCAAATTTACTAATCCACTTGTTCAAGCTGTCGGATCTCCCTGTTGGGCCTCGGGGACCACGGGGAAAGAAGGGCAATCAGCTCCTTTTTTAGGCTAAGCCAAGAAGGGCCTTTCTTTTCTTTACGGAATCTCCAGAAGACAGCCCTCAGTTTACTGACCAGAAAACTTGTCAAGTGTTTCTGACCAGACCCAGCAGAGCAGGACTCAAACTCCTGACCGCTGGCCTTGTGCTGGCCTGGCCCATCCTCGTCACTGTCAGCACCATCCCCCTGTCATCTGGAATCCATCAGACACAGTGAATGTGCTCTGCTGTCCCAAACGTGCCTATTCTCAGAATAGCTCTCTGTTTATATAGCTGTCTCCCCTGGGACCTGTTTCCGAAGACGAATGCCCAGAAGTGACATGAGCCAATTTATCATTTTGTCAGGTTTCATAAAACACCATTTCAACAGGAAAAAGAAAACCAAAGATAAGAAGAGGAAGAATTTGCACTTGTGAAGTGTGTGTGTGGTGTGTGTTTACATTGTGGTTTTTCAAGTGCTTTGAAACACGTAATCTCATTTGATTCTTCTAAACATGTGATTAACATTGAGAGGAGAATTGTCAACCTGGAATGTTTGGATAATTCTCTGATTAGGAATGTCCATAAGCAGATTGGTGAACATTAGGTGAGAGAGTTGGGGGGGTAACCATGTACCTCATGTTTCAGCTCACTCTTCTCCCACATGAGGAAGCTGAGTCCTGGTGCCCTTTGCATGACCACAGCTAGTATGGGGCTGAGCCTGAGTTTTCTCACTTGAAGTTCAATGCTCTTCCTCAAAGCCTTGTGCCTTTCATGTCCTCAATGGTGCCTCCCCCACACAGCTCAGGCATAAACAGATGGTTTCACTCATCTTAGCGTGAAAGCCATGGGTCCCGCAGTACCTGCTTAGCTTCAGCAAGGCAATATCTGCTCGTGAGGGCTCCAAGAACAGCTTGGACACATCTATTTGCTGAGCGCCCGCTGCAAGACGTAATTCATGGTGTGTACCCAGGACGACCTTGTACGTTGAAGGCCTGGAGGACCTAGCAAAAAGATGGTGACATTAGGAGCAACATATGGGGCAGCCACTTCATTAGGTGTCCTTCTGAGCCATAAACGTCACATCTTCTCCCCTCTTGGCCACCCACAATCAGTGACCTCTGAGTGGCAAGAAACAAGGTTCACGACTGACCTGGTCCTGGCCATTTAGGGATGTTCTTGAGGCTGCTTTTGGTCTGACCACAGAGGAAGAATGAAACCAACACTAAAGTCAGCACAAGGATAGACACCCACATCAGGAGGACCTGGGAGACCTTTGCCTGTCACAGCGGACAGCTGTGTCCTGTCATTTATCCAGGCCTGCAAATCCACCTGAACTGGGTCTTTCTTCTTCATTTCTTTCTAAACACGCTCCTCTCCTCTCTCATTCAATGACCCTGGCAATTCTGCCTCAGGCTTCTTCATGTCCACTCCTTGGGCCCTATGTCACTGCCATAGCAGGAAGGAAGGAGAGGAGAGGAGAGGAAAGGAAAAGAGGGATGAAAGAAGAAAAGGAGAGAGGGAGGGAGGCAGACAGGCTTTAAGACAAGTCCTCCTGTCGGTTGTCCTCTAAACGTACCTCTCCAAGCAATGGGCAGCAGTCAGCACCCACTCCGGGGATATAAGAGTACCTCCACAGAAGTGCCTTCCAAATCTAGAAGGAAAACGTGCCAGGATTTTAGTTCAAATCTGATGATTTATTCTACAAAGAAAGAAAGGTTCACTCAATTTTGGTAATGTTGTTTCCCATGGAAAAGGCTGCCAGCCCATCATCAAGACAGTAGGAACTTCAAATTGTGCTTCCCTAGTGGATTTTCCAGAAGATTCCATCAACCCCACTCTTTAAGATGGCTGGGGGAGGCTCAGGCACAGCCTGTCCACAGGACAGCACAGCCACATGGCTCCAACATGAAGCCCACATCCATGGCTTTGATCTGTTAGCCCTGGACTCCAGCAGAAGTGACCAGCCAAGGACCATTCTCTTGAGGCCTCTTTCAGTGCTTTTGACAAGATCTGTGCAAGACCTGTTGAGTCATTCTTCAGGGAGCCAAATGTGATCTTGAATAGCTGTGATTCATAGGAGTCTGCTAATTTCATCTGAGAAAGTTCCCGTGTAGGGGGTGCCTCCTAAATCTTTTATTTTATAGGACTGCTTAGGCACAAGCGGTGTGAGCTGCTCCAAAGCCCATCGTCATGAAAGGAACACAAATAGTAAGCGCGTGATGGCAGGCAAGTCCATAATCAGTCAGGAAACAGACCACAACGTAGTTTGGGAAAGAAGGAATCTGGAATATGTGAAAAGTGAAGGCTCTGTATAGCAAGGAGTTACTAAATAATAAGGAAAAGAAAAGCAAAGCCAACTCAGTGACAGAAGGAAATATACTAGGATCAGGTGTATCAATGGCATCTCCCAAGCATGTCGCTGGTGGAGGACAGCAGTTGAGTGAATGCGCATTGGCACAGAAATGAGTAAAGGAAGCAACACAAATCAGCCTGTTTCAAGCCTGTGCTTTTTATGAGACTCCCAGGAAAATTGAACTTATGAAAGGCCTGTGGCACTGAGATAATAACCCAAACTGTCTGAGTTCAGAACTGATCAGAACTGATCCCTCATAAATTATGGTGATCTTGAACTTTCCACACTAAAGTCATGTTTGTGACTGGGTGAGCATCCTTTGGTTAAAGTCAATCATTCACAAAAGTGTAAAAAAAAAAAAAGGAAAAAAGAATCTGTATCTCTGATAAATTGTAGATAATTTCGTCCTTGCTCCCCTAAGGTGTCACATTTCTAAAAATATCCCTTTCTCTTCATTTTACAAAAAGACAATGGCGATATAAACCCTCGAGGCATCTTCAATAATTTTCCAACCATATTGGAACTTGGTGAAAACTGCTGCGTCTACAGATTTTGATGGTAGCTGCCCAGATCAGGGAAAAGATTCCAATTCTGGCTATTTTTAAAGCAGAGAACCTAGAAAAATATATATATTTTTTATTTTTATATTTTTCCTTCCTCCTTAGAAGAATATAGAGGCAGGTACACACACCTGAGTTGTGTGAATTTAGTGTGAATGCAGAAAGGTTTTGTGGGGCTTACATAGAAGGATGGAATAAATTGTTTCTAGAAGCATTGTTACCTTGTTCTAAGACTGATTTGCCAGGGCCAGGAATGTGCGATGGCCACACACCCACCTACAATCCTTCCAGAACATTTCTTCGGTTCCACCTTGGGCTTTCCACAATCAAATGGAGAGGACTCTATGGCACAAAGTGGGGAAAAGTGGCATTGAAAGAAGTGAAAGCTAGCAAATCTGTCACACAACACAAGACACGTTAATGGCTGATGGCCAAAGCACTGAATTTTTGCCTTCTCAGAGCCCAACCTCAACAGTAAGATGATAAGCATCTTTTGGAATATTTTTTCCAAGTTTCAAAAGTGAGAGTAGACAACGCAGAACCCTTTCCTTTCAAAACAATATGAGTACTTTTTATTATTCTGTAGCGGAAGTGATTAAGTGAATTGGCAGAGTTAGGCGTTAGAATGAGAGCTTTTCTGAGAGGACCTTGATGACACAAATTGTCGTTCTGACTTGAGCAGTGTATCATCATTCTCATCATCATCCTGCTCATCATCATCATCACCCTCTGAACCACATAAAGTTTACTGAAAACCATAGTTGCCATCCCCGTCAAAAGGCACTAGAGATAGTTTTTAATGTGATGCTCTGTGTGTGCATGTATGTACCCATGTGTGTGTATGTGATTGTATGCAGCAAGGATAACTATCCTAAACTGACATAGTGCCTTCTCTCAACCAGCTTCAGGATAGCTCTTCCGGGAGCCTCGGGGACCAACCCAATGCCCCGGGGATAATTTACATTCACTTGCCTTCCCTCTATTGACTTCCTAGCTGCTTTCGCTCTCCACCCAGCCTGCAGGGTTCCTGGAGAACTGAGTAGTGCCCCATCTTTAGAACCACCCACTAGTGGCTAGAACAGTTCAGGGGCTACAAAAGGTGGTCGTTAAATGCTTCTCCGTTGTCTGAGCCATTTCAGATTGTCAGAAATATAAGTGCAAGTCATTCTTAACAACAATATTGCAAGGGGAAATTCCTTCTGTCCTGATCAACCAGAGATTCCGCCCTCTAGAGAATCTGGAATCTGCGTTTTCCAAATAACTTGCCATTTGTCCTGGCCGGTTCTGAGAATCAACAGACAGAAGTCTATTTTTAGAAAGGAAGCATGAAATATAATGGAATCCCACTCTCCAATACTGAGCTTAATTTCTGACCCTGTGCCTTACGTAGAGTAGATTTGCATAAATATACTAAGAAGAGAATAACTACAGAGATTATGGTACTCCAGTTTTACCATTTAGAACAAAATTGAAAGTTCCTATTTATTTTTACTTCTTCATTATTTGTACTTTATGTGTTGGTGGAACTGAAAATCAATCAACAAACAGATATATAATTTAAAATAAATGAATGTAAATAAATAAAAAATTATGCTTAAGGAGGACTTCCTTCAATTTTTGAAGTTGATTTTAAAGAGAAAAACCATACAATCCTTTGATGAAATTGAGAGACAGAATATTGGGTTGAATAGAATATAGTTCTGATTTCAGATTGTTTTCCTTATGCTATTACTTTTGTGCAATCTGCATGGTGCTATTTGTTTTAATAACATTGTATATTTACACAAATTTTTCAAGTAAGTTGCTTAAAGTTTACTTGTAGCCTAAAAAGTTTATCAATGGTACTTTTCATTTTAAAAGTGAGTTTTCCTTGTGAATTAGAAATAATGTAAAGTTTGGAAATTTTAAGGAAAATGATGGTTAGGAAATTTCCCACTTCAGTAAAGAAAATCCAAAATCTTCCAGGGAACGAGCAATAAAATCTTTAAAGAAAAAGAGAAAAAAATGCAAATAACCTAAATAGACAAACTCATGCATCAAAGAGATTTCTCAGTCTGAAAAAGTCCAAATAAAATTGGCAAAACCCACACAAGCACACAAAAAAAAATCCCCTTAACGTAGGCTAGCCACCTTTTAAGTACTGACCTGACATACTGGAGGAACTGTAATTCATGATTTAATTCTTTTATTTATTCATTCAGCAAATGCATATTCAAATATGTATATATATAGTGCCTAGTACATGCCACACGTTGCTCTAAGCACTGGAAAGAATAGTTAGATCTCTGTTTTCAATCTTTACATTCTAATGGGCGGGTATGTAAGATGATGTTAAATTGGAAGGATCAACTGAGGCCCCCAAGATGCCCTGGGGGAGTGTAAGATAAATCTCCATATGTAGCTTTCAGAGGAAATAGCCTGTTCTGCAATTCTGGTATCCTCATCCAAATCGAAGATGTAAAAGAATGAGGCTCTTAGAGATTGGAGAAAGAAGAAAGAATGGGAAGAGGATGTTTCCAGTGGACTGTGAGGCCCCCCCCCCACCTCACCATGATGCGGGCATGTGAGGTTAGCCCCAAACTGGTGAGAAGGGTTCTGATCGACCACTTGGTCTGATCTCGAGACCATTTCTTCCAGCAGGTGGATACCCTGGCCTGACTCACATTTGGGGAGGCTAGAGCATCTGGTGGCAGCTGAGGGAGGCACCTGGGAAGTTACTGTACTTCCCTTCTGTGGGGATCAGAGGTGCGTGAACCCCAGGCACAGCTGTGGAGCCCGTGGCAGGAGTGTCAGGCTGATATGGGAACTGAAAGACAATCCTCCCAAGCAGGCAGCCTGTACAGGATAGAGAAGCCCGGGCAGGAGGAGGCAGTGGGGTGTACCAGACCAGGCAGAGCTGAGGATTGGGAGTGCCCAGCTGAAGGGGAGGCACTAACCCCATCCAGGGACTTTCAGGTGGAGGGCCACCAAGAGAACCTCTGCACAAGAAAGAAAACACTCACTCGAGAAAGAGTCAGCTGTAAACTCACCCTAAATCCAGAGAGGACAATAAAGCAGCCAAGTAGAATCTGTCCTATCACCCTCGCCTCTCCTTCCGCCCCGTGCTCTACCCAGGAGCGGCCCAAAAGCAACCCGGGCAGTGTAGCTCCCATGCTCTTAACCACTACCCTCAAATGCCTCCCCAAACCGTATCCAGATGCTGCACTACAGTGGCTTCACAACCGAAGCTTCTCCTGCCAGCTTTACGCCCTGCACGTGACAGACACAAGCACAAGCAATCACACTACTCAGAGGAGAAGTCCAGGCTGATTTTCTGTAACCAGGACGGATTCTGTTTGCAAAGATGGGTCAGCAGAGAGTAAAATAGGTTCTCCAGACCTAGCCCTGGATTTGTTATCCCAAACTTTTTAGAACTAATGTCGACTCCCCTTTCCCTGATCTGAGCTTCTTGCTCCCTAGAAAAGTCTCAGAGAAATGAGGAAAGAACTCAGACAGGCCTTCTCTAAATTATGTGGCTAATGTATGGCTAGTGAACAGTCATTTTAGGATTAAGGAAAGTTGGAGCTTAGTAAAGATCTGCTTTACTTTCCATTGAATTCTGAGGATGACAATTTATAGGTTTACAATGTACATTCCATGCTTAGCTGTTCCCTTCTGTTTGTATTTTCTTTCTTACTTCTCAGCTGCTGAAAGGGAAAATTTCCCATCTGGGTGACATTAAATTTGTTTTTTCTCACATCCCAAGCAAGACATTGGAGAGTTTGGCAGAACCATGCTGAGGCTGATTAGATCTCCACTAAGCTTACTCTTTTGGAGGATTTTACATTTACTTTATTTAAAGTATTAGGGGGAGGTGGTTTCCTAATAAACGGGGCCACGAGTGGGGCAGATTCAAAAGGCTCATGATGACGAGAGGGCTCAGGGAGAGAGCTCTCCTCCCTAGGAGTGCTCAGTTTGAACTCTTCTCTTGCAGATCCATATTAAGGAGATGATGCTTCTTTTATTTGAGAAGTTTCCTTCCAAAAAAGAAAGCAATTTACCGCACTGAGGGACATCACAGTAGTCAAAAAGTTTCTGTGGATTCATTGTGTAGCACCAGGGACCATTGACATCACCATCAGGATTACGGCAGTACTGAAAAAAAAAGGCAGGTACATAGGAATGGTGCACGCTAGGGCAGAAGGGGGTGGAGAAGGTATCCTGAAGCACAGACATTTCACTGCTGCCCTTAGAAGATGACAGGTAGTGTTTCTTTTTGTGGGGAGTAGGGGAGGAGTTATTTTTAGGATGTTTATGAAGCCTCTGACTCATAGTTTGCCATCGGTCATGTCTCCTTCTTCAAAAGGAGCTCCAACCATAAGGCTTCTCCACTGGAGGGAGGGTGGAGACCCTGAGGGCCTTGAGGTAGACATTCAATAAATGGGCCTCCCCACCAACAGTGTGTGTCAGTGGAAACCTTAGAGACCCAGCAATCGAGGACTGTGGGACATGGTTGACCTGTCTTGTCCTTGGTTCGCTTCAGCAATCTTCCAGCCAAAGACGCCTGTTTGCTGTTGGTTCAAAAACGCTTATTCCCATGGACTGTGCAGCCTCTGTGGGTCAAGCCATTGAAAGCCATGTCTTTTTTTTCCTTCCCTAGACCTACCCTCCAAAGGAAACCATCCCAGAGAGTATGTGAGACTGGGTGAAATCCTACTGCATGGAGTTCTAATGGCTCATTCAAATTTTTTTCTAGAAAAATCTGACTAAAATGTCATGAAGGTCATCTTTGATCAGCAGAATCTAGAGGAAAAACACTAGAAACTAGAAACAACATGAAATAGTATAAGCAGACAGGAAATTTCACAAACAGGAAACGAGAGGTCTGAGGACGATGATAACGTGCATGGAGGTCTGCCTGCTAACTGTTCTTTCTGCACTGATGTCAATTATATTGTAGGCTTAGTCCCTTGAAATCCCTGGTATCTTTTCCCCTCCTCCCTCGCAAAGATCAGTCCAGGCTGACTTTCTGTAACATAGGACCAATTCTGTGTGCAAAGACTGGCCAACAAAAGGCAAAACAGAATCCAAATCAAAGTGGCTTACATTTTTTTCTAGATTTGCCCATGGATTTGCTTCTGGAGTGAAAATGCTGTGTCTGTGGGGCTCCTGGGCAGCCCACGCCTGGCATCGAGTGCCAGTAACAGTAGTTGCTTTCTTGCCCTGGTATCCTTTACCAATCCCAAGCATACAGTCTGTAGGGAAAAGAAAACGGGTGGTTATGTATTACTACACAGCCCCAGGACCATAAGAAATAAACACAGCAGTGTTAGATTTCTCTAAGGACAGACTCTGTGGTCACATCCTTAAGAGCACTGGGATGCTGAAGAGTTCACTGAACACAGCCTATTTTAACAAGTTCCCAGAAACGCTGTTGGCTGGGAAATAATCATAAGCCAAGATGTGAGAATGGGAATCTGAGGCAGGACACTAAGAGAACAATCTTATGACAAGGTGAGGGGTAAGACAGAGAACTCAGGAGGATTCCCATGAAGCAGATGCTGCTATGAACTGTTAGATGACTCTTGAACACCTCCCTCTAATCAAGCATGGATAAAGAGTGAAGACTGAAAAAGATTTTATAAAAAAATACTATTTTGGCTAGACCTGTACTGTGAGTTCCCACCCTCTGGTGGGGAGCAGGGTAAGAAAGAGATGACTAAGGGCCCCTTCCCCAAGCTTGTCCCTCATCTCAAGCATAGGGAATGGGGGTTCCCCAGAACCCCTCAGAAAACTTGATGTGGGTGTCATATATGGAGACCCAGTGCCCCAGTTACCTGATGGCCACTTGGAAAATCCAAAAAGCGAAAGCTGGGCCAGCTAGCGTCTCTGCCAAGAAGGGGGGCTGTGCTGGGCAGCCTGTACCCCTGATCTTTGCCAGGCCCAGGATGTGTGAGTTACCCACACACCCAATGTGAGGCATTCGCATGGGAGAACCACGTGAAGTCATCTCAAGTCTCATCCAGCCAGGATACCAGAAGGGGCACAGAGTGCAAAGTCTCACCAAGAAAGAGGAAGGAGACATGAGCTCGCTCTGTTCAGGGAACAGTAGGTGATGTTCTCCAGGACTAGAGGGGAGGCAAGCCCACTCCGGGGAAGGAGAGGGGTCCCAACTTCAAACCAAGCTGTCATTTTAATCATGACTGTCCAGAGGTCAGAATGAGTCATGGGACCCCTGAGTTTTCATGCTGGGACAGGGGGGAATTAGCCCCCTCTGTGTTTTCTCACCGTGCCATGGTGCAGAGCACTTTCCTGCTGCCCAGCAGCCGCAGGACCAGGTGCTAAGTACTCAGAGCTACACTTCAAGGGCAGAGGGAAGCAGAGAAGAGTGTGGTTATTTTTGCCTCCCCCCAAGAGGACAGTCACATTCTTATGTTCAGGCCCTTAACATTTCGAGCTACAGATCCCCTTTTCCAGGTGTTTACTGAAGAGCATCACTTGGCTATCCTACTGGTGCCCCAATTCAGTATATTCAAAACCAAATTAATCATATATACTCCTCCCAGAGGAGGTCGCACTTGCTTTTCCAGAATGTCCCTTGTCAGCCAGTGCCATCATCAACCTCTCAATGCACCCAGGCTCAAAATTTTGTCCATCGGTCTGCAATCAAGTAGTTTTCAAGTCCTAAGGAACCACCCACCCATGTTCTACCGGTCATTACAGCTCTGGCTCCCCCAGATGGCACACTGAGGCTTCTTTCCACGTGGCAGACACACAGGCAGTGCTCAAGTTCCCCGCAGCAGTGAAGCCTTCTGAGTCCGTAAGAGTTTCCGTCTCATTTCATGCTGATGCCCAAGTATGTAGATGTCTGGCCGCAGACTTCTTACCTGGTTCAGAAGGCTCCTGGACACTTGGAACTTGGGTGTCAGTTGGAGAGCTGTTGGAGAAACTCTGTTGTGTTTCTGAGCATCTTCTCAGGTTACAGAACTCCCATCTGACGCTCGGGTCAGTGGTGTAGCACCAAGGGCCTTTATCACCATCTGGATTCCTACAGTAGTTCATTGTCAGGTCGCTGTAAACACCACAACATAGGTCATGAAAAGCAGGAGAATCTCCAGGGGCACCCCAGCACCCTCAGAATTGCCACAACAAAGTGGTAACAAGTGATTTGACATATTTCCATTGAAGACACCAAAGGTACTACTTGTTATTAGAGTGCCGATGGCCCTCAACTTCTAAACAACTGGGTAAATTCAAAAAATAGATTATAACTTTCATTTTAAGTCAAAAGTAATACATGCTTCATATAAAAACTGGGATAATATATAAATGTGTGAAAGAAAGTATCGGAATGTCCTCCTTCTCTTGGAACGTTAAATATATTCCACAGGGATAACCAACATGGATTTTGAAGTGTATTTTTTAGATTTTTTCTAGGCATGTACAATTATTTCTCTATGTCTGTCTATCTCTCTGCATATGAGTACTTATGTAAGTTGGAACCAAAACGTATTTCCCTAAGGAAGAAATCGCATTTGAGATGAAGACGATGCCAGGCCAGCCCTCTTAGTGTATTTACTCACAGAGTAGCTAAAATGCTATACACTTACAATGAGAAAATCATGAAAAAGAATATTACTGTAAATATGCTATTAGGTAGGTCAAGTGGGTTCAGGGTTTGAAGGACCTATGGAAGCTGGCCCAGAAAACTGGCTTCCAGCTGGGGTGTTGTTTCTATAGGATGCATTCTGGGGGAAATGAGGAGGAGCTCTCACACACACCCCTACAGCCCCCACCCTCCTCACCCCCACACCCGCCCCTCACTGCTGCTGGTCACTCAGGGGCTGGAGCATGAGGATGAGACTAAAGAACAGCGGGATGGAAGAGATGAAGGGACGTCTGGGCAGACTGGTGGACCTGAGGTTGCTGAGGGCTTGTGGGGGAGTCAGAAACAACCGAGGAAGAGACACGGCTGATGCGGAGCCTGGAATACTGGGCGATCCATCCTCTGGGGCCTCCCCCGAACACTGTCCCAGCCTCTCAGAATTCTCAGCCTTGGAATCCCTTTCAGAATTTAGACTCAGAAGCTGTGGCTAGCTGAGAAAATTTGAAATGTATTATGTATTATGGGAATCCAATACAGTATCTGTAGATAAATAAAGTGACACAGCCTCAGGCCCGGGCCCACAATTTGAGGAGGCCGTTGGCAGATCTCTGAGCCACTGGATGTGCTAAAAGGTTATCATATGAAACAAGCCCCGGCTCTTTTTATTAAATTGAGGTATATTTGACATAGAGTGAAATGAACAAATCTTAAAGGTGGTTTGATAAGTTTTGAGTAACACACATGCCTGTATAAACCACTCTCCTGTCATGATTTAGACCACTGCCATCCCCCCAAGAAAGCTCCCATGGGTCACTGCTCAACCAATCTCTGCCAGCCCCCAGAGGCAAATGCTATTGATTTCTTTCACCATAAACTAGTTTTGTCTCTTCTAGAACCTCTGACGGATGGCCTCATACAGTATGTACTCTTCTTTTGCCTGGCTTCTTTCTTTATTTTTTTTCCTCCCCAAAGGCCCAGTACCTAGCTGTAAATCCTAGTTGTAAGTCCTTCTAGTTCTATGTGAGCCACCACCACGGCACGGCAACTGACAGATGGGTGGTGTGGTTCCACAACCGGGAAGAGAACCCAGGCTGCTGAAACAGTGAGAGCACCAAACTAGGCCATCAGGGCTCTCTCTGGCTTCTTTCTTTAATATAACATTTGTGTGCTTTGTCCTCGTGTTTTGAGAGTATCAGTAAATCGTTCCTTTTTATTGCTGAATAGTACCTATCCCACTGTATGAATATACCATCAATTATCGATTCATTTTCTTATTGATGAGCATTGAAGAGGTTTCCAGTTTGGGGCTATTATGAATAAAGTTGCTATGAATATTCTGGTAGATCTTTTTGTGGACTTATGTTTTCATTTCTCTTGAGTAAATAGTCAGGAATAGAATAAAGGTTTGTAGGGTAGATGCACATTTAACTTTCTAAGAAACCATCAGACTGATTTCCAAAGTGGTGGTACCATTTTGCTAAGATATTGAACATTTTTTTGGCACTTAATGGCCATTTGGATATCTTCCCCTGTGGAATGTCTATTGACATTTTTATTAAGTTGTTTTTCTTCTTACTAGTGAGTGGGAGAAATATTTATATATTCTGGATATAAGCCATTTGTCAGATATATTGATTGAGAATATTTTTCTCCCAATCTGTGATTTATCTATTTTCTTAACAATGATTTTTGGTGAGTAGAAGTTTTCATTTTGTTAAAATCTAAATAATACATTTTTTCTTTTATACTGCTTTTTAGGTCCTGTCTAAAAATTTTTTGCCTTCTCCAAGGTTGTGAAAATCTTCTCTTAATGTTCTTTCCTAGAAGCTTTATATTTCAGCTTTAGTTTTAGCTTCTACTTTTAGGTCTAAGAGTTTTCTCAAATTAATTTGTGCTAGGAGATAAGAGTCAGGGTTTTGGGGTTTTTTGTGGGGTTTTTTTTCTGTATGGATATCCAGTTGTTCCAGAACAAGTTCAGAAAACATTTCCTTTTCCTATTAAATTGTTTTGCCATCTATATTGAAAATCAGTTGACATATATATGAGGGTTTGTTTCTGGACTTTTTTCTCTATTTGTAGACCTTTTACCAGTGCCACTGCCTTGACTACTGCGCTTTTAGAACAAGCCTTTGAGTCAGAATGTGTAAGTCTTCCAACTTTGTTCTTCTTTTATAGATTGTTCTGGTGAGTCTAGGTCCTTCCCGTATACATTGTGTCTCTTTTTCCAAAAAAAAAAAGAAAAAAATGGCTGCAGGAACTTTTCTTGGATATAGATTGGATCCAAAGATTAATTTGGTGAGAAATGGTATTGAGTCTTTTAATTCATAAACGTAGCATATGTTTATTTAGATCTTTTCAATTTTTCTCAACAAAATTTTATAGTTTGCAGCATACAGTTCTTATTATACATATTTTGTCAAATTTATCACTAACTATTTTGTTTTTGGTACTATCGTCAATGATATTGTCTTTAAATTTTAATTTTCCAATTGGTCACTGCTGGTGTATAGAAATACAATTTTTGTATGTTGACTTTGTATATACTTTTGTATCTGTTGACCTTGCAAAATTCACCTATTAATACTTAGGATTCTCTGCATTCATTAATCTAGTTTTCTGTGAATAAAGAAAGATTTACTTATTCCTTTCCAAACTTTAGGCCCTTTATTTCTTTTCCTTGTTCCTAATCTTATAGAGAAAGCATTAATCTTTCGCCATTAATACGATGAGAGTTGGGGGCTTTTTGCAGATGGCCTTGATCAAGTTGAGGAAGTTCCCTTCTGTTCCTAGTTTGCTCAGACTTCTTATCATGGATGAGTGTTGAATTTTGTCTAATGTTTTTTCAACATCTTTTGATATAATCACACGATATATCACTTTTATTCTATTAACATGTTGATTTACGTTGATTGTTTTGCAAATGTTAAACTAACGTTACATTCTTGGAGAGAAGCCCCATTTGTTTATCATGCTACATACTTTTCATAAATTCAATTTACTAATTTTTTGCTGCCTTTTTGTCTATATTCACAACAGATAATGTTCTGTAGTTTCTTGCAATATCCTTGTCTACTTTTTGCATCGCATTTTTTTAAGGCTCACAAACTGAGTTACGTTTCCTCCTTTATTTTCTGCAAGAGATAGTAAAAGATTGGTATTATTTTCTCCTTAAATATTTGAGAAAATCTACCAGTGCAGCCTAAGCCTGGAGTTTTCTCTGTGGGAAGTTTTTTAATTTAAAAAACATATTTTTTCTTTAATAGATATCAGACTACTTAAAAATTCTATTTATTCAGTGTCTAACTTACTTTTTTCTTTCCTCCCTTCCAAGGAATTATTCCATTTTATTTAAGTTGTTGAATTTATTAACATAAAGTTGTTCTTAATACTTTATTATCTTTTAATATCTGTAGGATTCTATAGTGATGGCTTCTCTTTTATTCCTGATGTTGACAATTGTGTTCTCTCCTTTATTCATGATGAGTTTAGCCAGAGATTTATCAATTATATTGATCTTTTCAAAGAACCAACTTTTTGTCTCATTGATTTACTCAATTGTCTATTTTCTTTACCATTGATTTTTATTATTTCCTCCTTTCTGCTTACTTTGGGTTGTATTTGCTTTTCATTTTCTAGATTCTTACGTTGTTATGTTAGATGGACAGTTCTCAAAATTTTGGGTCTCAGGAACCTTTTACACTCTTAAAAAGGATCAGGAACCTGAAGAGCTTTAGTTTTTGTGATATATATTTTGTACACTTACTGTGTTAGAATTAAAACTGAGAATTTTTTAGCACACAAGAACACTCAATAACATATTTCATTAGTTGTCAGAAAGACGATGTCATTTCGCATTATCTAGTCTTTGGAAAACTCTACTGGACACTTGTGAGAAAACAAAAGCGAAAGGGGAAAATAAAATATATATTTTCTAATTGAAAGAGTTTTAACCTCACAGACTCCCTGAAGGGTTCCCAGGAATCCGTAAGTCTGCCCAGACCACACTTTGAGAACTTCTGGTTAAATCATTGACTTGTAAATGTGTCTATTTTCTAATAAGAACACTTAAAGCTATAAAACCCTAAAAACATTAGCTGCATCCCACAAGTTTTGATATACCATGTTTTTATTAATATTCAGATCAAAATATTTCTAAATGCATTTATAATTTTTTCTTTGACTTAGGTTATTTAGAAATGTGTTTTTTTAATTTCCAAATATTCGAGAATTTCCTAAATTTTTTTATTATTTATATCTCATTTAATTCTGCTGTAGTCAGAAACATCTCCATATTTTAATGCTTTTAAATTTATCAAGACTTGTTTTAAGTCCAAGCATACAGTAGACCTTGGTGAGTACTCCATGTGCACTTGAATGTGTATTCTGTAGCTGAGCATAGTGTTAAATTGCTTCATAATTTTCCTCTAAAACTTCTATATCCTTTCTTAATTTTTTGTCTACTTGTTCTACTATAATTTGTTTTGGGAGGATTTATGACTAAGAGAGAGAAGTGAGGAAATCTCCAACTATAATTGTGGACTTATCTACTTCTCTCTTTACTTCTGTCCCTTTTTGTTTCATATATCTGATGCTCTATTATTAGGGTGCAAAACATTCAGCATTGTTAACCCTTTTTACTTTAAAATGTCCTTTTTATCTCTGGTATTATTTCTTGTCCTGAAATCTACTTTGTCTGCAAATTAACGACTACACTAGCTTTCTTTTCATTAGCGTTTTCTTGGTCTATCATTTTCCATCTTTTGATTTTTCACGTATGTCTTCATATTTAAAGAGAATCTATTGTATGGAGATCATAATTGGCTTTGGGGTTTTATTCAACGCAACGTTCTCTGCCTTTTAATTGCAATATTTAGTCCTTTTACATTTAATATGCTTATTAATGTGGTTGGGTTTAAGTCTACCATCAGGCTATTTATTTTCTGTTTGCACCATACCTCTTTAATTCTTTTCTCCTCCTTTCCTCCTTTCTTTTGGATTAATTGAATATTGTTGTTATCTACTCCTCTGAGTTTGAATTTTCAGCATTATTCTAGGATTTACAATATCCGTCTTTAATCTATCATATTCAATCATGTATCAATATTATGTAGTATCATGGATAACATAAGAAAATTACAACAGTATACTTACACCTCTCTCCTATATTATTTATGCTATTGTTTTCATAATTTTACTTTACATATATTAAAATAAGAATACATCATTATCATTTCACTTCAAGCAAAATCATCTTCTTAGGAAATGAGATAAATATAAATATTTTACATTTATATTTATCATTTCCAGCGTTCTTCAACACTTAATAGAGATTCAAGTTTCCATCTGATATTAGCTTACTTCTCCCTAAATACCTTTCTTTAACATTTTTTACTACTGGTAAAATATTCAAATGTTTTGGGGGGAAGAAGGAATATCTCTCTATTTAGCATTCATTTTCAAAGGATATTTTAGTTGAATATATAGTTCTAGTTTGATGGCTTTTTTAAAATTTTTATCATTTAAAAATGTCATTCCACTGTTTTCTGGTTTGCATAGTTTCTGATGAGAAGACATTAGTCAGTCTTATCACTGTTCTGCCCTGTAAATGTGTCCTTTTTCTATGGCTTCTTATAAGATTTTTCTCTTTGTCTTTGGCTTTAAGAATTTAACTATGATGCACCTAAGTAAATCATACTGTTTTACTTTTTAAAAATTCTACTTAGGATGAAAAGCTTCTGGAGATGATGGCAGTGATGGTTGCACAACCACGTGAATATAGTTAATGTCGCTGAACTGTATGCTTAAAAATGGCTAAAATGGTAAAGTTTTTGTTATGCATATTTTACCACAATAAAAAAGCAAATTAATTTTTTAAAAATTCTATTTATAGTTCACTGAGCTTCTTGAATCTGTGAATTTATAATTTTCCTCAAATCTGGAAAAATTTCATCCATCATTGGTTTAAGCATGTTTTTCCATCCCAATATCTCTCTCTTCTCCTTCTTGGACTTGATTTAAATGTATGTTAGACCTTTTGATATTTTTCTATAGGCCTTTGAAGATCTGTTGATTGTTTTTCTCAGCCTTTTGCTTTTCCTTCATGCTGCAGTTTGCATTATTTTCAAGTTAACCTTTTCTTCTGTAATGTCTAACCTGATGGCTATCCAGTGAATTTTTCATTTAAGATAAATAATTTTTTAGTTCTTTCTTTTCCATTGGCCTCTTGTATAGTTTTCCTTTCTATTTAGATTATCCCTTTCTTTCTTTAATGTTCAGATTTTCCTTTAAATCCTTGAACACAATTATAATATCTTCTAAAAGTTTTGCGTGCTAATTCCATCATTTCTGGGTCTGTTTGTATTGACTGATTTCTCTCCTAGTTACGGATCCCATTAAACAATCTTTATATGTCTAGTAATTTTCAAATTTATGCCAGACATTGTAGATGTCACATTACTGAGTGACTTGATTTTGTTGTTTTCCTCTCAAGAGTGTTGAGTTTTCTTCTGGAAGGCAGTTAATTTACTTGGAGACCATTTTGACCCTTTTAGGGTTGCTTTTAAGCATTGCTAGAGTGTTTCTAGAGTGGCCTTTATTCTAGGAATACATTAATCCTACTCCTGAAGTGTGACTTTTCTGGAGTCTCTACTGAGTACCCAAGGTGTCCCATGACGTCTCTCTTCTTTGGCTTCTCAGAATCTCAAGTCCCTGGACAAGAATTTCCCAGTGCTAAGTGACTTCTGTAGTCTCCAGTTATCTCATCACTCCCTGTGGTTGTTCTTTCCCCAGTAGGTGTTCCTTGTCAGACTAACTGTGGAATCTCTCCCTGTCTGTATGCAACTTTATATTCAGTCAAAGACTTAAGGACAACTCTATGCGTATTTCTGGAGCTCCTTCTCTGTACATATCTTTCTCATTATTACCCAGCCTACAAAATCCAGCTGCCTCAGTAATTCCAACTCCAGTCTCTGTCTCCTGCATTCAACAAGACTGCTGTGGTCTTCTCTGCCTCCATCTCCTTGCACTGCAGTCCAGGAAGTGTCTCCAGGAAGAAAGCTAGGGTAACTCTGGGATGGATCTAATTTATTTCCCTTTCTAAAAGTCTCAGTCTTGTGCTGCCTGTTGTCCATTGTGTGGAAAGTTCTTCCATATGTTTTATAGCCATTTATGGGAGAAATGCTGGTCTGGTCAGACCTGATCTTTTGTCTATCCACCTGCCCATTTTGCTTATCAGTACCTGTTTAGTTCCTGACTCTCATCTGCCTTCCTGCTTTTGCTCTTCATGTCCTGGCACCTCATATCCCTTCAGACTACTAGTGCTCAGGACCTGACGTGTACACATCAGGTGATATACACTGGGACTCAATGACAAACACAAACTGGACTTCGGGGACTGGAGGTTGGAATGTAAAAATTCCATAGTTGAAAGACCGCATTGATCTTCAACAGGTGTTATGGAATGGTACTGTTTCTAAGCTTTTGGTCATTTGTTTTCCTGAGCTTTCCAGGAGTGTGAACTTGACACCTCCATATATACCCCCTGCTTCCACAAAACTATTCAGGAAAGATAGCCAGCCTCTAACTTCTCTTCTTTCACAACTTTTGCTAAAAAGTAAGGTGCCTGAGATGTTTTGGCTCACATTCTGGAGCCAAGAGAAGTTTGGTCCTAAGAAGCTAACTTAAAAAATGGCCCTTCTAACAGAAATTTAAGTTGGCTGTTGTTCCTCTTTTTTTCATTTTTTTCTCCCCAAAGCCTCCCAGTACATAGTTGTGTATTCTAGTTGTGAGTGCTTCTGGTTGTGCTATGTGGGATGCCGCCTCATCATGGCCTGATGAGCAGTGCCATGTCCACACCCAGGATTCGAACCATCAAAACCCTGGGCTGCCAAAGCAGCGAACATGAACTTAACAATGTGGCTAGCGGGCCTGCCCCTGTTTCTCCTCTTATGGTTAAAAATCAAAGACATACGCATTTGGGTACTTTTCTGGAGTCTTCTGATGCCAGTGTGGTGTCATGGATGACCAAGATTGACATTTCTTTCCTGTGACAGTGATGGAGGATGTGCCTCGATAACTCTCTCCCTTGTCCTGGTAGCAGTCTTGGACCACAGGAGTTTGTTCAGGTGGTTCTGAAATTAAAATAGAAGAAATCAGTGAATAATGACTAGAACAGAGAAATAAGTGAAGCAATTTATGACACAAACAGAACAGTAGTTTCTGGGAATTAACACTGTTCCCTTTTCCATATTGGCAAGTAGATGGACATGCAAAGAGAATAGATCCAGAATGAGCAAGGCTGAATCTTACAGTATTGGGCTAAGGAAGATGCATGCTAATTTAAAAAAAAAAAGAGAGAGAGAGAGTGGCCAGTTCTCTTATGAAGGATACTGTAAGACAATTGCAAATGTATACCATAATGATTCCCCAGTCCTCCTCCAAAAAGACTTTTTTCTAAAAAAAGAAAAAGATAACATTCTAGAACTTTAATGGCCTAACTTTTTTGCTGAATATTTCATTTAAAACTCAGGGGAAAATAAGCAAGTCAGAGTACTTATAATTGAAAATTGCATTCATGTGCAAGCTCTTTTTTATGGTTCTCCAGTGGGTGTTCATGCAATTGGGCAGGAGACCAAAGGTAGACACATTCAGGGGTGCAGGCTGCAGGTGGTGATTGACTGTCAGTGGGGGGAGACGTGAATCCCTTACATGTTTACCCAGACTCTTATACAAAGCCAAAGCCCTAAGCTGCTGGAGCTAGTCTAAGATTAGGGGTAGACCAGGAAGACAGAGACTGTCCACCTTCACCAAAAGCTTAGCATTAGTAAGAAGAAACAGCAGTATATCACTAGGGTCTAGTTAATAGCATAGAGTGTCCCCCTCTGTGATGCAGGCATGCAGTGACTGCTAAAAATTGGGAGTGGATTAGAAATACTGAGAAAACTCTTCAGCACCCCGGACCCTACTCCTAGCACAAGGTAACAGCAGCCCATCACCAGAGAAATTTGAAACCTGTGGTCCATTTAAGATAATAAAAGCAGTAACAATAAAACCCAAATTCAGTTCATCTGCTGACTATATGGATTCAATTACCCACACAGCATACTGACAAAAGAAGAATCATGTCTATTTCAAAGTACAAACAATTCTTCTTCTTCTACAAAAAATGACCAGCATCTGATGAAAAATTACAAGACACACCAAAAAAGCCAGGGAGAGTGATAAACAGAGCCAGACTCAAAGATGACTTGGAGCCAGACAAACAGAGATGCAGAGACTATCAGATTGAGGTTGTGAGAAAACTATGACTACTATGTTAAAGGATCTTGTAGCAAAGGTGAACAATATGCGTGGATAGATGAAGAATTTCAGCAGATGGGGAAACAAAAATAGAATAAAATGCAAATGCTAAAAATAAAAACCTTGACATCAGAGATGAAGAATTCCTTTGATGGGATAATCAGCAGATCAGACACAACTGAGGAAACAATGAAGGAACTTGAAAGTAGATTAATAAACATGATCCAAACTGACACACAAAGAGAAAAAAAGAGTGGGGCAAAAAAGCAGAACAGGCATATAAGAGATTTGAAACAATATGAAATGGCCCAACCTTTGGGTAATTGGAGTCCAAAAAAGGAAAATAGAGAGAGAGAGAGTAGGGGAAAAGAAATATTTGGGCAGTAACGGCTGATAATTTTACAAAAGTAGTGAAAATCAACAATCCACAAAAACGAGAAGCTCAGAGAACTTCAATCAGGATAAATACCAACAAATAAACAAACAAACATGCAAACACATGTAGGCACACCAAAATCAAACTGCCAAAAACCAAAGAGGAGACAAAGTCTTAAAGACAGGCAGAGGGGAAAAAATATTAAATACAGAGAAACAAAAATAAGATTTCCAGTCATAAACTATTGAAAACAGAAACTAACCGTTAATATCTTTAAAGTAGTGATACTTTTAAAAGGTGATTCCTTTTAAAAGGAAAAAAATTATCAGCCCAGAATTATAAACCCAACAAAATTATTCTTTAAAACTGTGGGCAAAATAAAGACTTTTCCAGACATACAAAAGCTGAAACATTTCATCACCAGCAGACCTGTACTACAAGAAATGTTAAAAGTTAACTTTTTTTTACAGAAAGAATATGATACCAAATGGAAATATGAATCTACAGAAAGAAATGAAGAGTACTAGAAATGGCAAAAATAAATAAATAAAAGTAAACATAAAGATATTTTTTATATTTACAATCCACTTTAAAACATAACTAAATGGGGCAAAAATGGTATCAATGTATTGTGAGATTTATAACACAATAAAAGTAAGCTCTTTGAGAACAATAAAACAATATTTTGGAAGGGAAGAAATCGAAGTACAATGTTATAAGGTTCTTACATTATATATCAAGTAAAACAATATTATTTGAAGGTAGGATGTGATACGTTAAAGATGTATATTATAAACATTAGAAAAATACTAAACACACTAAAAATTGGTTTAATAAGCAAATAGTGGTGACAAAAGACAATCAAAATAATACTCAGTGCAAACAAAAGCAGAAAAAGGTGAAAAAAGGAACAAAATTCAAATAGAACAAATAGAAATAACTAGCTTGATGGTAGATTTAAATCCAACCACATTAATAATTATATTAAATGTAAATTGTCTAAACGTCTCAGTTAAAAGACTGGGAAAAATAGATAAATCATACAAACATTAGTGAAAATAGAACTGTAATGGAAGTATTCATATCCTCAAAAGGAGACTTTAGAATAAGGACTATTTCCAGAGATAAGGAGGGACATTACATCATGACAAAGGGGTTGTGTCTTCAAGAAGACATAATCTTAAGCGTCTATGTGACTAACTAAGAGCTCCAGAGCATATAAAGCAAACATAAAACCAAAAAGAAATAGAGGAATTCACAGCTCAAGTTGGAGACATCACCATTCATCTCTTAGTAATCAATAGAACAGGAGATAGAAAACTAGTGAAGATTCGGAACAGTCACCAGAATGACCGTATTGGAGCCATAAAACAAACTTCAATGAATCTAAAACAGTTGAAATCATAGAGCATGTTCTCTGACCAGAACAGAATTAAAGTACGATCAAAGCTTCTGTATACGGTGGTGTCACTGGGGTAGAAAAATACAGAGAGCACTGGGGCCCTCAGCAAGCTCTCATTCCCCTTACCTGAAGCATCCGTAATTTCTGTGGGTACTGATGAGGACGTACAGGACGGTATATTGCAGTATTCCCACCTCGTTTCACTGCTGGTTGTATAGCACCACGGAGCCGTTTCTCCATCAGGGTTACGACAGTAGTTTTCATCCAAATTTCTGAAAAAGAAGTGGTTGTGAGTGTAGCTTTGCAAAAAGGCTCAGTAAATAACAAAGCGCTCGCATGCTGGTCAATGGTGATACTGGATACGTATCCAAGTAGTTCTCTAGAATTACACAAACTGAATAACACGTGGAATTCTATAGGATTCTATAGAATTATGGCACAGGTGCTTCTCTTGGGTAAAGGGTTGAAATAGATTCCTTGTCTCTGTAGAATCAAGCGCAATAGGTCTTTTATTACGTGTTGGGCACTGTGCTATATGCTGAAAACCCAATGGGTATTTTCCACACTCTTCCTGCTTCAAAAAGGATACATGCTAGCCATGGAATTTCAGTTTACAGCCTTGGAATTTAAGTGTTCTCAAACCTTACTGTGCATTTAGTAGAAACCTTATCAAAACATATGCCTGGGACCCACTCTTTGTTTCTGGTTTAGTAGATCTGAGTAGGGTTCAAGAATTTGCATTTCTAACAAATTGCTGCCGATGCTGATGCCGCTAGTCTGGGGAAACCACACTTGGAGAATCAATGTAAAAGGAAACTCAGCACTAAATTTCCCTTCCCCTGCTTATGACTTGATCAGTTATGACTTGATCAGATATGACTTGATCAGTTTTCATTCCAGAATACTTTAACTCAAGATTCCTATAGTAACAAAAACTAAGGTGAAATCAATGGGATTTCACATTCCATAGCAGCAGACGGGGAAGGAGACCAGAGTGGGACTTACTTGCAAGGAAAGTTGTCCGGGGTCCTGTTGTGTTTGTGAGGGGTCTGCTCACTCCAGCGCTGACAGGTAAGCCCAGATTGGGTGACAGACACTCTCCCTCGATAGTTTTCACCTCTTCCTTTCAAACACTGATATGTTGGACCAGAAGATGGTGGGGGTGTTGCTTGAATGGGGAAAATAAACTACAATGAATTTTTTAAGAAAGAGTCACAGATAGATGATGCGGGGACGGATACACGGATCATCAGACTGTCTTCTGCTCATCCTGTCTCGCACTTTGGCTCTTGAAAATTGTTTCTTATTTCCAGAAGAATCTAAGTCTGAGTAGAATCTACATCTGCAGTCCATCTCAGGAGGAACTCCTCCAGGGACAAGAGCCATAGAGTAGATGCTTCTTTCTATATTCTCTTTGCTCAGGTCGTCATACACAGTAAAAATCAACCTGGGCCACCCTCCACCCTGAATCCTCACATATACCAACGATCCAATTTGCATTGTGAAGAATAGATTATTCACCAAGGAAACACAACTGAAGGACACGCGATAGTCCGTAAAGCCAAACAACAGAGAGAGTCCATGGAAAGAAGGCCAGAAATGTCCCCAAACAAAAGGCTGCACATCCAGGAATCAAGAAATTCACGGGAAGGAAAAAAGATCACAAAAGAGATACCAGTGTTCATAAAGGAGGAGAGTCTCTGAGGAACTTCAGGGTCTTGAAGGATGATGGTCAGAGCAAAGAAGAGGAAGCTGGCTCTCAAGGCTCGCTGGGTCCTTTTCAACGTTTGATGACTGACTGTCTTTGTCTAAACACTTAGTCCCTTGCTTCAAATTCTCATAGGAGGAAAATACTATAAAATCGTTTCTTCCAAGTCATTCCTGCTAGGTCTGCCATTTCACCTCCTCCCCGTGAACACTCTTCTCCCACGGCTCCCTCACAAGTTGGACACCCTGAGAAACTGGGTGTCCAGACACCTCTCTGTTTACAAAGCAACAATTAGAAAGAACTCTGGCTCTTCACGAAATTCACTTGCCAGAAAGCATGGATCTGACTTCCCTTTAGCGCTAGGAAAAAGTAGAATATCACAGAGACCTCCCAAGAGACCGCATTCAACTGAACTCAGAGGAGGCAGAAGTCTTTGCTAGGGGGAAAAAAAAAAAGATAAATGGATGCTCTGATCAATTACCTCCAGTGACCAATAAATGATTTTAAAAGAGCAATCCCTTCCCACAGGTGTCAGGCACTTTTAAGGCACAGCACTCAGGCACTGACACATGGTTTTTTCTTGATTCCAAGGGCAGAACAGGTAAAGATCCCTGAGGACTGGGTATGAGCCATACTTACAACAGCGCGGGATGTCACAGAATTCCCAGCGTTTGTCGGGATCCATGGTGAAACACCACGGGCGGGGCTCCCCATCAGGGTTACGACAGTAATTCATCCTCAGGTTCTTGTTCGGAAATCTGAACAGGCAAGAAGAGTTGTAATAGCACCCAACATTTACATTCACGGATGAGCATCATTTCAGACGAGCAAACCTGGAGCACCTGTTGTGTGCTCGGCACAGGCAGGCACCCAGGGAAGTGACTGGATCAAGGCTGTCCTCAAAGAGATGACAATGTCATAAATAAAGTGAGCTCAGTATTCTAAGGAGTGTGTTTCTAACAGTTTACATGTGCAAAAGTCGCAGAACAAGATCAGTAACTTTATTGTTTTGGCCATCTGGAAAATTGGTATTGGAAAACTCCAGTTATTTAGCTGCAAATAATAGCAATTTTTAAAACACAAGGTACTCACTGACTAGAGATCGTCATCTAGTACACAGTATAATCAAGATGTTGGTATCTTCATAGCTTAAAGGAATGGACCTTCTGGTCTACCAGGTTCTGGTCCTGCCAGCTTTTAAGCTTATAGAAACTGAGAGGGATAAGCTGTGTTTCTGTGAGCACATGGCCGAATAGTACAGGCCAGTGAGCCCCTCAGGAGGGACCTCGTGGCTAAGAGCGTGAGATGCGTGCAAGCCTTGTGGCCCTCTGCACTTATTTCACATCCCTGTCTAAGGTGGTAAGTGCTTCGTCAGGATGGACAGAGCAACCAGCAGTGGCTTAAGCAATCCTCTTCTGATTTCCTAAAAGTGCATTGACCCAGTTCTGTGCCTAAGGTCCTTACCGTATTTCTTCTTCGAAGAAAAATGGTAACGGCTGTGTTCTAAGCTAGCTATTTGGAATAGCTAGGAGGTAAAGAAAATCAGAGGAGCTGTTTTCACAGTGAAATCTGTGGCTTAGTCCCATTTTTTAGAAGTTTTTATAAAACCCATTTTCATCCTTCGGTCACCATAGAACGAAGAAAAAGACCAGACGCAGCTACTGAAATGGAAGGTGTTTTCCAGTACAATTAATGTGAAATAGAAACCCCAGAAAAACCCTACTTTAGGAATCATCATTATTTTCCAGATCAGGGACTCTTATTCCTATTTTAAATTCATGATCCCCTGTGAAAATCTGGTGGAGGTCAGGAATCCTCGCCCCAGAAAAAATGCGTTGATATAAATACACATAAAACGTTGAGGAACTCACAAAACCCCTATAGCCCCTCCATAGATCACAGGTTAGGAAGCCTTGAGTCTCACTGGCATGAAGGAAAAGGAAAGGAATAAAGAGAAGAGGGAAATATTTGGAAAATCCAGAAGTGAGATGTGTCCGTATTTCTCAAATCTTAATGCGCCTCCGAATAAGCTAGGAATCTGGTTATAATGCCAGAGGCTCTGAGATTCAGCATTTCTAACAAACTCTCAGATGGTATCACTCTTTCATGGACCACATTTGGAGTAGCAAGTATGTATACTTCACCCGCAGTCATGTGGGAAGACGCAAACTCGGAAATTCAAAAACATCAGGTGTGTTCACTTCTTGAGGGATGCTAAAATATCTAAATAAAATGAAGTGCCCCAGAGAGCCGCAGAGTCGGGAGCATCTCGTTTCTTTCCCAGTGAGACTTACTTGGAAGGAATGTATCCATGAGCATGTGGGCTCTGAGAGGCCCAGGGCTGGCATTCAAGTCCAGATATGGTCTTGGAAATTTTGCCCTCATAATTTTCTCCGCTGCAATGCATACATTCATCTGGCAGAACAGAGAAGAAGGAAAGAAACGAAGAATAAAATGGAAATGGCTGAAGCAAAAGAGGGTAAAAACTAGAAGCCCACCACAAATGTTTCAAATACCACTTGCCACTTGTGTATATGTATTTTCCCATAACCCCTTAGTAATAAAATTGGCAATAAAGACTCCATTTTCTAATACAATCTAAAATATTCTCTCCTTCAAATGGTAAAATCTGCAAATTTTGGTCAACACTCCCTCAACTATTATAGTCATAACCAAATCCAGGAATTCCATAATGCCTTGTCCTCAGACTAGGAGGCACTGGCCCTTGGTGGGTGGGACGGTGGGGGCAAGAGGGTAAACATATTCTCAGAAGTCTGTAAGTTCTCTACTAGGATTTTTAAATGTTTTCTATCTTCATTTCAATAATGATCTTTAAAATTTCCTATGAAATTATTTTGATCATACAGATGACTGCCAAATAAGCTGGCACCCTGCCAGGATTTTAGTGCTGGGGTTTTTGTTTGTGCTCATGACCTCTCGGCACTCTCCTCACCATGCCAGGGTTTGCGTCCTAGTCAGGGAACCACACCACCATCTGTCTCTGCTGGACACAGCATCACTGGGAGTCAGGATCAACTCCACCGTACTAACTAACAGGACCTCAGTAGGGAACCATATTCACCTAAAATGACAGCGCTTCTCTTTTTATATTATTGAGAAGCATGACTGGCTGTTTTTTGCTGTCTTATATTATTTAAAAAGTGGAACTTTGATTTGGAATTATTGAAATAGCATGGCGCAGCAGGATAATATTATGACTTTAATTTTTATGAGGTAATAAGGAACACAGAAGCAGACTTGATACAAAAATGATGCATTCATGTCAATTAGGAGCCAAGTGACCTCATAACAAAGTATACGAATAAAGGTTCCCCATGGTTGAAACAGATCAAGCGATGGGAGAACTGAGCTGTCACACACGGTACATACACTACCCACATTGTTACATAAATCCTACCTTCATTCATTCTCCCTTTGCACCAATAAACGTACCAGGAAATATGAAATGAACATTTTTTCAACAAGACGTTTTTAATTTTTTCAGCATTGACTTTGAAGCACACTATTAAATTGGTTGGTCTATTAAAATAAAGGATTGCTGACTTAAAAACGGATTCATTGCTTTGGTTCAGTGAAACAACAAAGTATACCACATGAAATTAATATTGTTTACTTGAACGTATTGATTTTGCGGTTTTATTGTACCTATTTCATTGCAAATCTGTTTTTGGCTTTATACGGTGCAACAGCTTTAAGCATAAGAAATTTGTATCTAGAGTCTGTATCTAGTTTTATCTTTGTACATGTTGAAGTAATATTTTAATAAAAATAATTCAGGTCAGTAATGGAGGTCCGAGCAAATTTTCAGTCCTTGCCAAGAGAACATGTTACTCAATGTTGCCAAACATGGCACTAATTGATTATTAATATCTCTGTGGGAAATTGCTTTATAGCAAATTACTTTACAGTTAAAGGGCAGATAGGAAAACATTTTGTAGAGCCTGACCTTCACATTCCGGAATGTCGCAGTAGTCGAATCTGGTCCCTGGATCTGTGGTGTAACACCAGGGCCCCTTCTCATCATTGTCCGGATTCCGGCAGTAGTTCTCTTCCAGCCCCTCTGAAGGATTCTTATCAGGGGAATATCTGTGGAGGATGGAGAAGAACCATTTTGACTATATTTTTAAAATCAGCGTGTTATCAGCATCATAGAACAAGATGCTCTCCATTTCCCATCTGAGGTTCCAGATGTGCCCCTCAAATGCATTTGGCTCTGCACTGCAGCATGTGTGTTCTCCGATTTTCAATTTCTCTATTCCTAGGCTATTTCAGCACAGTAGCAAATATTCCTATTATTACTGTATTTACAGCCAAGTCTTAGAAATAGAGCCAAAATGTTTTTCTGCACTCAGTAGAAATAGAAAGGCCTCGAAGGCCTGCGGAATTCTTGATTCATTCCAAACACCTGTTTTTGTCAGTTGCCCTTCTCTCTGTAAAAATAACAGTAGTTAATATCATTTTCCCTGTGTGAACTATGTGCTGGGCATTAACTAAAATCTTTCCACACATTCTCTCATTTAGTCTTAATAAAACTCCTGTCAGGAAGGTGTTATTATCCTGATTTTCTAGATGAGAAAACTGAAGGGTAGCAATGTAAAGCCAAAGAAAACTTCCCTAAGCTTGAACAAGGGTTAAGTAGCATCTCAAAAATTCAAAGTCAGATCTGTCTGACTGCAAATGCTGTGTTCTCTCCAAAATGCAGCCAGAATTCATGGGGGAGGCGGGAAATGGGGAGTGAAGCTCATTTTCAGGTCTAGAGACAAGTTGCTGTGTAGAGATAACAAATTTGAGCAAAACCCCAAGACTTTGAGTCTGAAAAGGCAGGTTTTGTTTCTGGTTCTTTTACGTACCTGTTTTTGGTAAATTGCACTCTCTCATGACCTCAGTTTCCCCATCTGCTGGGGTAGAGATGGCTTAGATTATCTCCAAGGCCTCTGACAATCTATGATTTGGCCATTTTGTTTAATCATTCTACCTCTACAAGCCTTAAGGTCCTGGGAATATGAGACCTGCCCATCTCATAGGCATGCAATAAAGGCAATTTGTTTGGGAGGCCCGGCAATAGACACCCAATTCCTACTCGATAAGCATTGCTACTGAGAACTTAATGCCACCTAACACCGTATTGGGCAAAGTACGGAAAGAATGACGCTAAAGTAAATATAGGCAAGTTGCAAGACAATCTATTTTTCGTTTATATTTGATTGATTATTTTGTTCTACAACGCAGAGGTGAACACGTGGTGGGAGCTCTAACTTGGTACATTTGATTTAGACTAATTTGGTTTTCAACAGTCATCTTTGGCCTTTTCTTAGACTCAGCCTAGAATTCATGGTTTTATTATTATTTTTTTAATGAGTTGTCCTTCTATATCCTACGTCTCCCAGAAAAGTAGCTACACGAGAGTGAATGAAAAGCAACCATCTCCTGCTTTTGTGTGTGAGGAAGACTGGCCCTGAGCTAACTTCTGTTGCCAGTCTTCCTCTTTTTGCTTGAGGAAGCTTGTCACTGGGCTAACATCTGTGCCCATCTTCCTCTATTTTACGTGGGATGCCAGCACAGTGTTGCCTGACGAGTGGTGCTAGGTCCGCGCCTGGGATTCATACTTGCAAAGCCCGGGCTGTTGAATCAGAGCACACGAACTTAACCTCTACACCACCAGGTGGACCCCCATGTTCTGCTTTTATGCTATGAATAATTGAACCATCCTACATCAACATCACTAAGGGTCTCTTTGTACCTGCCTATTCACATATTCTGGTTTGGTTCAGAAGTGGTGGAATCATTCTCAGCATAATAGGTGAACATAGAGATGAAAGAGAAAGTCTTACTTAGGTATGTGCGGAGAGGTGTCACTCCATTTTTGACAAGAAACCCCGTTTTTCGTTTTGGACGTCGTGCCCCTGTAGCTCCTTCCAGTCCCAGTCTTGCACTCTGAAAGATAAACTAAAGGAAGTGCGCACCGTTATCAAATCCTTTCACAACAAGGAACATCGTGAGGAAGCCCCGCACTGCTTAGTCACATTGAAAGGACTCGCACACCAGACGACGCCATCTTCCTCCGATCTAAAAGGATAGTCTTTTAGATGTGGGGAGGAGTTGCAGTTGCTAAGCTATTTGGTGCTTTGATTTCTTTATTCAAAGCTGGGCCCGCTCTGTGTAATGGGGGTACCACACGGGGTGCTGGGGACACCGGGAGTACAGAACAAAGACCTTACCTCTGTGGAGCTTACGTCCCAGGGGAGTCAGGGAGCCAGTTACAGGAAGTAACCGAGGACACAAATTATGAAAGGAGATCACCTCACGGTGACATGTCCAACAGAGAAAATAAATGGCGTGATGAGAAAATAGCGTGATGAGAGAGTGAATGGGAAAGTAGACGGGGGCTTTTTACACAGGGCGGGGAACAGGCTTTTCAGAGGCTGAAAGAGAACCAAGCCACTTCTACTTTTTGAGGCTCTCAGTATTTTAAATATGAAAAAGTACCAAACCAGCTTATAAACTATGGTCTGCTTTAAATGTTTGCAGTAGACGCTCTCTACCAGCCTCCACTCACCCAGCACACCGCTTAGCCAGTGGGCCCCACGCTGTCTTTAAAAGACACTGTCAGGTGCCCACCTGTGTCCCACATGTGGTAGGACGGGCACCTGTGTCTGGCAGGCCGCTTTCCAGGGTGCCCATCCACTTCTCTTCCCAACAGTTGGGTTATATGCTTACTAAGGGTCGGCTGTTTTTGTTGTCAAAACTATTTATACGACTATATTTGATTAAAGATGAGCTAAAGTGAGAAATGAATGTAAAAAAAAAACCCAGAGCTTTTTTTTGAAAACTAAGTTGAATGCTTTTAGGGATTTGAAAGAGTTGAATTGTTTGTTTTAAAAATTGCTATCAAATCCACTGAACACAGTCCGCTCCTATAGTTGACTATGTGAGTTTGGGGTGAAATTGTAAGAACATAAATGTATTTTACAGTCAGATTGATTAACAGATGTCTATAGATCTCGGCCCTCTTCAAAGAAAAGGAAACTGGTTATTGCAGACAATGCACTTAGAGGGGAGTTTCTGCAAGAAATGCACTAGATAACTCCTGTTGGTGGCCCCATCTTCAAAGAAAATGCCTCCACTCTACACCCAAAGGTGTCCATGTAAACTTGTGCTTTCACTGAAAATATAAAATACTTAAGGTATGTTTGTATCATCTTTTTTGATTCTCCATCTTAACCAAGTTTTTAAACTAATTGATCAGTTATCTGGGGAAGGTACTTCTAATACACTTAAACCTAGCACTATGCATAAAGACTGCAAAGATGTCTCCATTGAGATACATTATTACAGTTGACATATTACACTCAACAGAAGTGTAAACTCAAGGTGCTTTGGAGGCCCAGGGGTCACGGAAGACTTTTAAAAGGAAAGCTTAAATAATGCAGGGCCCTGGAACAATTGCTAAGGATTTGGATATTATTCTAAGGGCACTAAAGGTTTGAAGCAGGGAATTTACAGAGCAGCCAATGCAGTGACCCGGCCAGTGATGATGGCGGCTTAGACCCAGATGGTGACAGTGGCTGCGGTGGCAAGTGGCAGATGTAAATGTGATCTGACACTGAGTGTTCCCAGAAAAACCCTGGCAGGGAATTGAGCAGTGGGTCCATATTCCACAGGAAAGAAACAAGCACCAAAAAATGAGTGACTTTGACTTTTTACCTCTCTTTTGTTTGCATGTACCTGCCAGAGTTGACATAACCTTTTGCTCTTTTCCGTCATCTTGAAAACAAGTAATTATTCAACTATTTAAAGGAAGCTAGCGGTCACCCCCATGTTCCTTCGGGTTAACAATTGACAAATGACATATTTAAATATTAGCATTTGCCAAGGAGAATCCCACCAGGCCTTTATTTTGAAAGCCGGTAGATAGTATTTAATCCTATATATCTCATCCTCTACTCACTGTCTGTAAGAACTAATGACTTCAACAGATAAGCTGGAGATGTAATCTACGCTTTAATCTCAAGAATTAGAAATAAACAGTGTTAAGGAAGGGCATGTATCAGGCACACAGCTAATTAAACCTGAGAAGATGAACCGATGCCTGGAAATAGTCCCAACCTAAAGAAACACTTTCTGAAATCTTATTTAGAGTTTCGTGGTGAGACTAGAAGGAATGTCACAAATCATTGTCGAGAATACAGGGAATAGGATGTTTCTTGTTGTCTGTAACACCTGTGCTACAGAATATTTGGAGAACTAAGTTGTTATTATAAATGGTCGTAATACGTGGCCAAGAACAGAGTATAGGAGGTAGTTTTAAAAGTGTCATACATTCACTTAAATCTTCATACATACTTAATGGAACTTTTGCATACCTAAAAAGACGTGCAATTTCTGTAGGAATCAGGCCACCCCTTATCCTAAACAATGGGACTATTGATCCAGAATTTTCAAGGAAATTATGGAAAAGGAACTACAATTCCTGCCCATTTTCAAAAGACAACATTCCAGGGTCTGAGGGAAGCATACACCATGACGGAAAAAAGTGGAAAATTTAGGAATAAAAATAAAGATTTTGTCTCTATCGAACTATTACTGAGGATATAAAACTCCTCAGGTTTTCTATTTCTCCAGGCTTCAATCCAGAAGCTGAGGCCAAGGACCGTGCTCCCTGCAGAACAAGAAGCCAAGATCAAAAGGAATGTTTAGACTCCCCTTCCTCCTTAAAATAAGATAAAATTTTGAATACCTTATTTTCAGGGGGATAGAGGTAGAAGTGATTTTGTAAATTCAATCCCTTCCTTTGCAAATCAAGAAAAATGAAAGCTAAAAGGTGAAGTAATGTACTCAAGTTGACATAGTGGATTAGTAGCCAAATCTTGTCCTGACTCCAAATTCAATTACACTATACCATAGTGTCTCCAGTCTCTGGCCTGATGAATTACAGATTTAAAGAGGAGGAAGGGAGGGGACAGGGAGAAGGAGAAAGGAAGGGGAGGGGAGGGAGGGGGGAGGAAGGAGAAGAAGGGAGGGGAAGGTGGGGAAAGGGGAGGGGGAAGGGGGGAGGACAGAGGAGGAAGAGGGGAGGAGAGAGGAGGAGAAGTAGAGGAATGGGAGGAATGGAAAGGGGAGGAAAGAAAAGAGAAAGGGAAGAGGGATGAGGAAAAGAGAGAGGAGGGGAGGAAGGGAGGAGGGGAGGAGTGGGGAGGGGCGGGGAGGAGGAGAGCAAGAAGGAGAACAGGAGGAGCAAGAGGAAGAAACCACCGTACTCACTTCTCTTTTCAAATAAAATAACATCTCTCATCCTCATGACTGGGGAAGACTTCCTGTTTTCAGCCAGGAGCACACATCGTGGCTCTTTACTGTGATATTGGAATGCCCTGCAGAAGAGAATCAGGAAACGCTGCAAATGTTTTCCTTTATTGAAGGAAAGGAAACTTTCAATGATAAGCAAGAGACTCTAAAGATAATTGTATCTTTTGATGGATCAAGGAGCTCAGAACTGCTACCTTCAATGGAGTTTGGCACAGCATCAAGGAAGTACTGTAAAAGAATACATCAACTCGGAAGGTACTCTGATTTTCTTCCACCTTTACTTCTCCCCTTCCAAATTTTCTGTTTCAACTGCTTAAGTCTTTCCTCACTCACTTTCTTAATTAAATGCCAGAATATTTGCTTTTGAGTTGGAAAGAGGCAACTCCAATTGCTTTGAACCAATTCCCAAGATGGCCTGCGTGACTTTTGGACTCCTGTAATTTCCCCTTGACTTGTGCCTCTACATTCTACCCCTCAGCCTGCACCTCACACCTCCTTGCCCATCCATGTGGTCTTGCCGTGGATACTTGGTCTGACATTCAAAACCATCCACAGCTACCTTTCCAGCCCCATCTCCAACCATCCGCATGAACCCTTTGCCTTAGTCAAATTGGTCGATCACTGGGGCATCATTATCTCTCTCACAGGGGCACGCTGCTCCCTCTGCCTAGAACGCCTCCTACCCTATCGGTATTTATCAAGATCTCTCGCACCCTTCAAAGCCCAACTCAGTTCCCTTCTCCTCCCTGAGGCCTTCTCTAGCTGTCCCAAGCCCTGGGAACTGTTCTTTCCTCTGAATCTTTATAGATCTTTAATTTATTTTATTTATGTAATCTTTTATTGACTATGTCACTTATCGATAACTTGCATTGGCTGTATTTTTAAAAAAGTTTTACATTTTATCCAGTTTCTGTGACTACACCATACATACACAAGGACAAGTACTGGATCTTTTATCTATACAAAGATCTAACATATATACTGATAGATGTTATTTATACCAGATCACTGTATCTATATCTTTTTGCTCTTTAGAGTCTAGGGCACATTCAGTCACATTATCCTCAATAAATATTTACCAATGATGATGTTAGAAACTAGAGCTCAGAACAATAGCGGCTGATGTCATGTGCAAAAATGAATAACTTCCTTTTGGGGCATTTTTCTAAAGGGAACATTAATAAATTTTAGCAAGAAATTGTTCACATGGTTTCAGATACAGAGTCCAAACTCCAATCCTGTGAAATTCCTCTTTCCTCTTAAATCCTATTTTTGTTCATAAATCTATGGGTAAATTTCTTGTTATCAAAATAATAGTGTCTCAAACAGCAAGATTTCTGAGTACATGTAATGACACTGAAAATACCTGCAAATAAATGCTGTTTCCTCCGTACATTTTGCCTCGCATTCTTCTATGCTACTTGCTGAAAGCGGCTTCCTGGTGAAGGTAAACAGTGAAGCCCCCTGGGTTGTTACATAGTCATCCAGGATGTCTCCGTGACCTACCAATGGAAGACAAAAGTGGGACAATTAACAGCATTAACCAACACCATTATTTAATTATCATGACTTAGTCATCTATTTGCTTTGCATCAACCAAATAGAACTTGGAAGCAGGATGCGTGGCTCTGAATAAAAATGTGTAGTCACGAAAGCAGTCCGTTAATAGACTGCAGTATATTAAAAGATCAGCTGGATTGTTAGATGAATAGATTAAAACTATTTAACAGCTTCCATGTTACTACGTTAATGGGGATGAAACCTTAAGAATAAATTTGTTCCATCTGCTATTGATTGCCATGTCACATCAGAACAATAAGAGACCACCAGTGTGACCAATACTGATGTTGACTTGTTCATCCTCGGGTATATAGAGAACTTGGAGCTATTCTGGGATTCCTGACAGTATAAGTTTTTGTTGTGACCTTGTCACTTAAACCGATGTGATAAGCATTCTCTGAATGGTTCTACTTTGAGATAAAAAAAATTTGAGTGAGTTGATTATTTTGAGAATAAATAAGACCTGAATTAAGTCTCAAATGCAATACAAGGTCGTTTTCATACTGGGCTCAGGACAGTGACACCTCACTATTAATAAAGGAGAATTCATTTTGTCCATGATGATGACAGGTGTCTGGCTTCTCTGAGGAAGTTGTAAAAAAGCAGAGCCTGGGACAAATACCTGCCTTGAGTTTTCTGTGAGATAAAATCTGAGGCAAAGGATCTGTCTGAAAGTTGCTGTGTCCTGTGGCCGAGGAGCCACAGTCAGGTTCCCACTGCAAGGCTACAAAGAGAGTCCCCTGGGCTGAGGCACCATGTGGCTCCTGAGCTAGCTTTGACAGCTCTGTTCCAAGCCAGGAGATGTCAACCTCCATCCTTTGGGTATGGAATACAAGTGGTTTTCCTAGGATGAGAGGTTAATAAAATGAAGACAGCCAAGTTTCCTAAAGTTTGTCCAAATGGGATTAGGCAACATGGCAACCTTGGCCTCTTTGACGGAAGAGGTGGGAACCAAAGCCAGATTGACCAGGCTGAAGAACAGCTTAGGAGAGGCAGTGGGAAGACAAGTCTTTTCAGAAGGCTGGCTGTGAAAGGACCATTTTCAGGAGGGCATATGTGGTCACGATTTCTTTTTTAAAGATGAGACATTCGAGAGCGTGTTTGGTTACTGATGAAAATTATCCAGTGGGAAGGATCATTAAGCGCCAGATCCTCATTCTCAGAAAGGCCATCTCTGCCCACCTGAAAACACACACATTGCATAGGGGGGATGCCCTCTAGCAGATTAGGACAAAGCCATCTTCTGGAGTCCACCCTCCACTACCTCTGCTCCTTCATCCTTCCTCAATTCAAGATACTCCAAAGTGGGAGGGTGGATACTGAACAAGAAGTTGGCCGATGCAGTTGAAATTTAATACATCAAAAAGTACTTGATTAATGTTTCCAAAGATCATAGAGAAATCAATATTTTAGACCCATAGCCATGTCTTCATTCTGCATTTTCTCCCAATTTGAGATCTCATTTCCACGAAGAGTTGGGATTTGGTACATTCTATGGATCAGGATGTGATTTAAAAAACAACGTAAAAACTCTATAAAGTGCATCCTATAAAGAGTTAAATTAAACTTTTCAAAGAGTTCTTAGAAAGTGGAGCAAGCTGGTGTATCAGTGGTACCAAAACAAGAAAATTTCCATTATATCACCCTTTAATTGTTACCTTTAATTATGTTACGTTGTTATGTTTCATAGCATACAGCTCCTGAGACCCACCTTTGGAGCAGATAGCCCAAACAAATATCCCAAAAGAGAATAATTTTTTTCTTTTTTTGCTTGAAAAGTTTTCCCCCCAAATTTTCTTTTATTCATCTCCAGGGCTTATATAGTAATGGGGTATAATACAGTTTATTTATTGACCAAGAAATATTAAACAAATCTTTTTAGTACGAAAAGTATTTTTATATTATAGGCCAAATGTATAGAGATATATATATCTCAAAGTAAGTGTATTTTATTGATAATGTGGTAGTGGTGTTTTTATAACGGTAGCATGTATATGTGCATGCATTCTTGTGTGTTTGAAAGAAAAGCATTAGTGGTTGGGGAAATACAAACTGCTTATCCATTTCCCACTGAGAAGAGGATATTTTTCCTCTCGCCAGTCATTTCAGCCACTGGAAAGATGAAACACTTCCACGGAAAAAAAAGATTAAATACCTTCCTTTCAAAAGGAGCTTAGGAAAGACTTTTCTCCCCTAGGTTGATGAAGACACGTGTTAATCTTGTTACAGAGAAGTTCATTCTGACACTTGGGTGTGACCCACCGAATCAGCCCGCACTGTTCCAGGTCCTGGTTTCCACGGGCTAAAACAGAGTATGCGCACCTGCACCCGCATACACAACCATTTCCCACAGAAATCTCTTCGTACAATCTTCTTCTCTGTGTTTTCTTTGATATTTCTTGGAATGGTTCCACTAAAGTCGAATGTATTTGACTCTAATTTAATGCACAACTGTAAAATTTTATCTAGCAATTCATAAATTGAATTACAAGTATCTATACACATTTATATGAATAACTACTAGCGTAATGGATGATTCCATTTATACGAAATGTCCAAAATAGGCCAATCAGAAACGGAAGGTAGATTAGTGATTGCCAGGGGTAGGGCAAGGGCATGGGACGGTGGGAGCTGGGGGTGACAGCTAAGGGGGTGGAGTTTCTTTTTTGGGGTAATGAAAATGTTCTAAAATATATTGTGGTGATGGTTGCCTAACTCTGAATATACTGAAAACCACTGGATTTTATGCTTTCAATGGGTGAACTGCATTGTACGTGAATTATATCTCAATAAAGCTGTCAAAAAAAAAAAAGAACTATAAGGTCCTGCTTAGAATATTTTAAAGAAGGTTTAAACAAAGTCAAAAAAAAAAGAAGAAGAACACCAGATTCCTTCTTGGAAAGCCCTGGTTTAAACCCTGGTTTCTTCACTTCCTGGATTTGGGAGTTTGGTCAGTAGGCAAACAGCATGATTTTCGTAAGTATGGATTTCCTCCTCTATAAAATAGGAATGCCCTATCCTACCTATTACACCGCTGAATAAGCTGTTATTATTAAAGGACAACATGCATATGTATAAAAATGTGCCTGACCTAGCTCAAGCACGAAGTGAATATTTGTTGAATTATTTTTGCATACATCACTTGGTAAATTGATGCCTGTGGTTTCTCCAGGCATAAGAAACAAACCTGTATGTATGGAAGTCCTTACTTAAGCCATAACCATCAGGGAACCAGTGAACACAACTCAAGACCAGTCAGAGAATGTAGTCAAGGACAGACTTCATTGTTCTCATTTCAAAGAGAGGAACATACAACACCTTAATAAAAACGCTCTAAATTAACCAAACGGAGAACCAGGGAAAAAGACTAACAACTTTTTGGACTGTTAAGCATACGAGATATTTTTTCAACTAAAATGACCATCACTTGGGCTCCATTTTTTTGGATTTAAAAAGCCATTCATTATTTTCTCTGCCCATTCATCTCCAGTACTCGCAGGGAAATTAAACTTATTTCTTGAATTGCTTAATCTTATATTTAGATTTTGAATTGGGAATCTCATGAACCAAAAGCTGAATTAAACTAGTTGCCCAATAAAGCCATTATGTCTCTATTTTGAATACATCACTAGGAAAAAAATTCTTGATTAAGGGGAAAAAAAAACTTTGTCTTACCTGACTTCAGAAATAAAAGCAGTAGAAAGACCACTTCTTGATGTTCCATTTTGGAACTGGCCAGCGGTGTCCAGAAAACAGCGTGTCCCAATCCTGAGATGTTATTGACTTACATGAAAGGAAATGCATCCACAAACAAGATAATCACATATAGTTAATTATTCTCCTAGAAGCCCATTGCCACCGTGCTCTGAGGGTTCAAACATTACCTTGACTGAAGGATCTTACAAAATGTTTGAGAGCAGAATTTGCAATAGATGCTGGGAAGTGGTGAAACCAGTGCCCGCCCCCTCGGCTGCCTCATGCTGCCTTTTTTTCTCCTTATTCCTCACCTTACTCCCAGTCCATCATCTTTCCAACTTAGCCATTTTCTTCTCTCTTCTTTCATTCCCTTTCTTTTCGGTGAAAAAAAAAAAAGTCACAATAATAGCTCTCATTTGCTGTGAACTTTCGTATGCCAGACGGTCTGCTAAGTGGTGCATACACATAGTTTCATTCAACCTTGGAAACAAGCAATATTCATCATCCCCATTTTACATGAGGGGACTCAAGCTAAGAAAGTTTAACTTTCCCAACTTTACTTAGCTAACAACTGGTGGAGTTAATAAATGTAAGCTAAGGCATCCCCACATCCTAGCAGTGTAGAAATTACAAAATAAATTAAAATATTTTATTATTATCAACATTTCTTTATGCCTGGTGGACTCACGTGTTTTCCATGATTGCAAATTATGTTATAAAAATATCGATCTTTTCCCCAAAACGAATTCACAGTGCATTAGATTGCCATCCTCATGAAATAAAGCAAGAGTGGTAAAATTAAGTTTACAGAGTCTCTCTCGGTTTCATTGCTGAGTCTGTACTTTTCCCTGGCTTAAGGCTAGAAAGGCCAGGTAGTACATGCTTTAGAAACGCTATTTCAGTGTTTGAAAGTCTATTAATAGTGAAATCGACTCTATTTTAAATGTGAAATAAGAACAAGAAATACTCCTCTCACCAGCTACAAACTTCTTTCTATAAATTATCTAGCAAAGTGTAAAGGAGGGCATCACACCGTCTTGGGGGATTTCCCGCAGAATCCCCTAGGACTGAAGGACAGTCATGCATCACCTAATGACGAGGATATGTTCTGAGAAGTACGTCTTTAGGCGATTTTGTCATTATACGAGCATCACGGAGAGTACTTACACAAATCCAGATGGTATAGCCTATTACACACCTAGGCTATATGGTATTAATCTTGTGGGACCACCATCATATATGCAGTCCATCATTGACCGGAACATCATTATGTGGTACAACGTTCTGTACCATGCAGAATTCTCAAGAATAAAACGTGCCGGAGAACAAGAAGGTGGCACTATTGTGAGGGGCAGGGATGAGCTAGTCACATTTCCTAATTTTCTACTTTATTTTCGCTTTCTTCTCTCCGCAAACTCTTCTGCCTCACTCTACCCTCTCCCTCTCTGCTAGTGGCCCAGTTTATCAAAGGAGACACAAGGAGCAAGCAAGTTGAGAAATCAGCATTGGGCAGAGCTTTTTTCTTAAAGTATCTGAAATGTCTCTTAGGGGGATTATGTTGGTGTGTTTGAGAAAGTACTTCAGGTGAAAAACAGACTGTACCAATATACAATGTTTCCAGTATGCATTTATTTCCATTTAAAATAGTTTAGTACTGCTTCATGGATAAGGCACCTGAGGAAGAAAATTATCAGAAATTCTATAGTCACATAACTTTCCTTGTCCTGTTTTATTCTTTTATTTGGGTGGTGGTTGTATGCCTTTTGCCCCTTTTCCTCCTGGAAGCTTCTAGAATGCATTTGATTCTACCAATGTTATTCTGTAAATCAGGTTGGCCTCCTGTGGCCTCCTGAGTACATTTTTCACCACCTTCATAATATGTCGGCATCATGGGAGCACTGATAAATCATAAAGCAGAGTTTTGCTCTTCTGCCACCAGATATCGTAGTGTGTAAAGAGAAGAGCAAAGAGGAGTGCATTGCCCAGGGGCAGACAGAGACAGGTGGGTGCATAGAGACTCCCATATGGCACGGCGCCACATGGTTTAGCTTCATAGGCACACAAAGCAATGGACTATTCTAGATCGCATGTAGGAACCCCACACTTATCTCTTAGAGGGATGCTGGATCATAGTTTTGCTCAAAACTGTAAAGACAATTCAAAATGAGTCTTCTTCTACTTGAGAGAATGGCAGAAACTGAGGAAAGAAATAAAGAAAGACCATCTTTGTACACTAATAGCAGGTTGAATACATTCTGAGATGTGTATCCTTTTTGAGTTCAATTCCTTAAGTATTGATCAACCACCTACTGTGTGTTAGATTTTTTTAGGATTATACAAAAGATCCAAGTTACAGTCTGTGCCCTCCCACAGCCTCCACCTAAAAGAACTCCAGGAAATTTTTTTATCTAAGATTTCTGGAGACTGCTGCTGTACTTGCAGCCAGAGACAAGGACATCAAAATAAGGTGGAAGATGAGGGGCTGGCCTGGTGGCGTAGTGGTTGGCTTTGCGCACTCTGCTCCCGTGGCCTGGGGTTCGCCGGTTTGGCTCCTGGGCGCGGATCTGCACACTGCTCATCAAGCCATGATGAGGCAGCATCCCCACACAGAAGAACTAGAATGACTTACAGCTAGAATACACAGCTATGTACTGGGGCTTTGGGAAAAAAAAAAAAAAACAGGAAGATTGGCAACAGATGTTAACTCTGGGCCAATCTTCCTCACCAAAAAAAAAAAAAAAAAAGATGGAAGATGAATCTAATTTCTTAGCTCTGCCTAGCAGGAGGCCTGCAACCAAGATTCACTCACGTTCCCTTAAGAAAGGAAAACTTAGCTAGTTCCTCCCCTCCACCCCAGGCATTTAAATGGTGAATTTCTTGCAAGCACCTTACAAGAAAAGTCATGAACATAAGGTAAGTTAACCTCACCAGGAAAGTGAAGTAGAACGCCTCCTTCAGTCTCGCCTGCACCCACCTTTCCTAAAGTGGAAGTTATGGGCAAGTCACAACTTCCCAGGTGACATGCTTTCACACTGCCTGGACTTTGCACCTGCTGATCTGACATTTTCATCTGTCACCTTTCTGCACCAACTTTCCACCTTCCTCCAGCCCCAGTGGAGCTCCTCCCTGCCCAGGCTCTGCGGTCTAGGGACTGTGATTCTAAGACAGCTCATTTCCTTACCAGGAGCATCTCTGAATAGCCCCAGTAAGACCATCTCCTTTCAAAAGGAAAACAGCAAAAAAGAAATAATGAATTTATTAAGGGCTTAAAAAAAGCACGCCTTCATTGTGGAGCAAGGGTTCCTTAGCACGTTTATTTTTGCCCTCATGTCAATTTGCAGATTGCTTTCACTGTGTTAGTTTATCAGGGCGTATCACCTGGGACATGGCTCTCATGAATCTAAAAGTGGCTTTCTTTTCTTCACTCGACCTTTTTCTCAGGTCTGTTAGCCTTTGTTCCTCGGTTTCTGGGACCATGGAATGAGATCCTTATCAGCCTGAGCTCCTGTAAAGAGATAGCAGGCTGCCCAGTTAGCACAGAAGTTAAAATGTAACCCGCTCAGAGCACTTTCCGAGTAAGACCTGACTAAGTCAGCAGTCAGCAAGCTGTATTTTCTTCACTGAGCTGTGCTTGCGGAAATCGAGATGTTTATTCATCTTTGAAAAAAAATAGTCTTCACTGGATATTTCCTCATCACTCTTGTTAGATGCTTGAGCAAAACAGTAGCAGAGAAAAGGACAGTAACTCCTGGGTGATTTACCAGCCTCCCCTGATGGCACGCAGACTCCCCAGAGACCCAGCGAGCTGATTTCTGCTCGGAGGTCTAGATTCCCTACAGAAAAACAGAGAGAAACCAAATCATCCTTTCCATCTCTAAAATTCATTGTTCTCTAAGCTAATTAAGACCAAAAAAAAAAATCACAGTATTTGAGAGAGACAAGACATCTAGAAAATGTTAAAATCTTTTAAGAAAAAAATGAGTACAGATAAAAACTGGTGAAATCTGAGCAAGGTCTGCAGACTAGTTCCTTACGTTGTACCAATAGCAACTCCCCAGTATTGATAACAAAATATAATCAGTAAGGGGCTGGCCCCGTGGCCGAGTGGTTACGTTCGCACGCTCCGCTGCAGGAGGCCCAGTGTTTCGTTGGTTCGAATCCTGGGCTTGAACATGGCACTGCTCATCAAACTACGCTGAAGCAGTGTCCCACATGCCACAACTAGAAGGACCCACAACGAAGAATACACAACTATGTACCGGGGGGTTTTGGGGAGAAAAAGGAGAAAAAATAAAATCTAAAAACAAACAAACACAAACAAAAATCATGTAAGATGTTCCCTTTGGGGGAGGCTGGTTGACAGGTGATGGGTATGCCATACTTCTGGGTATTATTTTTGTAATTCCTTGTTATAAAATTATTTTTGTAATTTTGTGTTTCTAGTTATTTCAAAATAAAAAGTAAAAATACATGTCTTTTGTATATGTATATATTTGTATATATGCATATATTCGTATATATTTTATGTATGTCTATATTCGGATATGTGTGTCTATATTTGGATATATACGTATATATTTAATGTATACGTGTATGTACATGTTTAAATGCTTCCATAATATTGCAGAACTTCCAAAGTACAGTAACTTGTCCAAGCAGAGTCTAAAGTAATAGAATTTCTAAATTGGGGTGTGGAACTCAGGATGTGACTGACGTCTGTGAGCACAGGGGAAGTGTGAGCTGGGTGGGAGAGGTCCCCTCCTCCACCTCCACCTCTCCCCCAGGCCAGACAGTCACTAAGGCCTGACTGCCACCTGTGCAGCAGCAGCTCCTGCCCATGAGCCTGAATCTAGAGGCTGGAGGCGTCCGGGCCAGCTGTGGCATTCCCAGTGCTCTGGGGAGACCCACCATCTCTGCACACAGGTAAAACCCCAGCTGAAGAGAGGTCCCCACATCACCCCTGGACCTCACGTAGTGACCCCTCCCTCCTCTCTTACCCAGTCCAACAGCTCTACAGTCCAGCGGAGGCGTCGGAAAGTCCCTGAGTGATGCGTTGAGGGGGAGGGGAAGGTGTCAAAGAGGGTGAGCCTGGCTGTGAGCTCCAGGAGATGTGGTTGCAGGGTCTACA